TTTTTGTTTTCTGTAAAAACAACCCTTAGCGCGGAATCTCAGTGAACGCATATTTTGTGTGTTGAATCCACACACGCACACGCACTAGTATAAAGAGCTATAAATAGATCATTGGAAAACATGTGACATCCAAGAATGCACAATGGGAAAATTGTACAGTCCAATCCGTTTAATTGAAAGGGGCCGAAAGCAGTGAAATTGTTTCAATTATCCGAGTGTTTCAATAATAGCAAATCCGAATAATTGATATCTGTTTCATTTAACCGAAGTTCAATAAATTGGGTCAATAATTCTGGTAATAATATGGCAACAATAAATCGAATTTTTGAAACATTTAATAGCTTTAAACTTTCAGAATTTCAGATTTTTTTCTGATTTAGCAGTCAATGTTCCAAAATTAGTCACCACTTAAAAATCCAAAATATTACAGTTGCTTTTATTTTGGCAACCAGTGGATGCCCATAAAAAAGTACTCCTCGAGACCTTTAATTTAAGCCCATTTTAATTCGCCCATCTTTAATAATTTTCGCACAGAGGTCTTCACAGCAAATCAGGATATTTTCAGAAAGTCCAATTTGGCTTTCTGAAACGGTTTTGGAATATAACTGGTATATGGTCTTAAAGTACTCCTCGAGACCTTTCATTTAAGCCCAGTTTCATCCGCCCATCTTTCATAATTTTCGCACAGTGGTCTTCACAGCAAATCAGGATATTTTCAGAATGTCGTCCAATTTGGCTTTCTGAAACGGTTTTGGAATATAACTGGTATATGGTCTTAAAGTACTCCTCAAGACCTTTAATTTAAGCCCAGTTTCATCCGCTCATTTTTCATAATTTTTGCACAGTGGTTTATACAGGATTTCAGGATATTTTCAGAAAGTCGTCCAATTTGGCTTTCTGAAACGGTTTTGGAATATAACTGGTATATGGTCTTAAAGTACTCTTCTAGACCTTTCATTTAAGCCCAGTTTCATCCGCCCATCTTTCATAATATTCGCACAGTGGTCTTAACAGGATAAAAGGCGTTTTTAACAAAGTCGTCCAATATGGCTTTCTGAAACGGTTTTGGAATATAACTGGTATATGGTCTTAAAGTACTCCTCGAGACCTTTAATTTAAGCCCAGTTTCATCCGCCCATCTTTCATAATTTTCGCACAGTGGTCTTTACAGGATTTCAGGATATTTTCAGAAAGTCGTCCAATATGGCTTTCTGAAACGGGTTTGGAATATAACTGGTATATGGTCTTAAAGTACTCCTCGAGACCTTTAATTTAAGCCCAGTTTCATCTGCCCATCTTTCATAATTTTCGCACAGTGGTCTTAATAGGAAATCAGGATATTTTCAGAAAGTCGTCCAATTTGGCTTTCTGAAACGGTTTTGGAATATAACTGGTATATGGTCTTAAAGTACTCCTCAAAACCTTTCAGTTAAGCCCAGTTTCATCCGCCCATCTTTCATAATTTTCGCACAGTGGTCTTTACAGGATTTCAGGATATTTTCAGAAAGTCGTCCAATATGGCTTTCTGAAACGGGTTTGGAATATAACTGGTATATGGTCTTAAAGTACTCCTCGAGACCTTTAATTTAAGCCCAATTTCATCTGCCCATCTTTCATAATTTTCGCACAGTGGTCTTAATAGAAAATCAGGATATTTTCAGAAAGTCGTCCAATTTGGCTTTCTGAAACGGTTTTGGAATATAACTGGTATATGGTCTTAAAGTACTTCATAATTTTCGCACAGTGGTCTTTACAGGATTTCAGGATATTTTCAGAAAGTCGTCCAATATGGCTTTCTGAAACGGTTTTGGAATATAACTGGTATATGGTCTTAAAGTACTCCTCAAGACCTTTCATTTAAGCCCAGTTTCATCCGCCCATCTTTCATAATTTTCGCACAGTGGTCTTTACAGGATTTCAGGATATTTTCAGAAAGTCGTCCAATATGGCTTTCTGAAACGGGTTTGGAATATAACTGGTATATGGTCTTAAAGTATTCCTCGAGACCTTTAATTTAAGCCCAGTTTCATCCGCCCATCTTTTATAACGTAGCTGCTTTAGTCGTTTTGGCCTGAGCTACATTGTCGATTTAATATATTTTATCGGTTGTATTTAGTTTAAGTAGGTCTCTGATTTTTGTTTAAATGATGTTGAGATCTTATGGGAAGGTGATTTTTTTATTTTATTATCATATATGTGCTATAAATACAAAACAAGGGTCTCACGAATTTTTTTCTATAGAAAAAAATCGACCAAGGGTCTCACGAATTTTTTTCTATAGAAAAAAATCGACCAAGGGTCTCACGAATTTTTTTCTATAGAAAAAAATCGACCAAGGGTCTCACGAATTTTTTTCTATAGAAAAAAATCGACCAAGGGTCTCACGAATTTTTTTCTATAGAAAAAATCGACCAAGGGTCTCACGAATTTTTTTCTATAGAAAAAAATCGACCAAGGGTCTCACGAATTTTTGGTCTATTTAAAAAAAATATATATTTTTTCAAAAAACCACAGGATTTTTTATGAAAATACCACAATGTTTCATTACTTTAAACTTTTTTTGAATAACTATATGATTTTTTTTTTAAAACAACAGATATGTATTTTTTTGGAATAACCAAAATGATTGTATTTGTAAATATCGAATAAATACAATGCGCGTATTTATTAAGCATATAGGTATATATATATATATATATTTACATATGCTTAAAAAATTTAATGTTTTTCAGATATGAAAATTAAATATATATAAAAAATTAATATGGTTTAGTACATTTTAAAATAAAAAAAAAAGTTCTCCTGCGCTGGGATTTGAACCTACGACCCAACGTTTAAACAAAGAATTGTCAAAAAACCAACGCGCTTACCAACTGAGCCACAGCACCTTCGTTGCGTAAAGTAATATGATGCTTGTTTTGTTTTCTTTCCGATGAGATCAGTTGCTTTTCGTTGCTATGCAACAACAACAAATAGCGAACGTTACATTTTTGTTTTCTGTAAAAACAACCCTTAGCGCGGAATCTCAGTGAACGCATATTTTGTGTGTTGAATCCACACACGCACACGCACTAGTATAAAGAGCTATAAATAGATCATTGGAAAACATGTGACATCCAAGAATGCACAATGGGAAAATTGTACAGTCCAATCCGTTTAATTGAAAGGGGCCGAAAGCAGTGAAATTGTTTCAATTATCCGAGTGTTTCAATAATGGCAAATCCGAATAATTGATATCTGTTTCATTTAACCGAAGTTCAATAAATTGGGTCAATAATTCTGGTAATTCGGGTTTGGAATATAACTGGTATATGGTCTTAAAGTATTCCTCGAGACCTTTAATTTAAGCCCAGTTTCATCCGCCCATCTTTTATAACGTAGCTGCTTTAGTCGTTTTGGCCTGAGCTACATTGTCGATTTAATATATTTTATCGGTTGTATTTAGTTTAAGTAGGTCTCTGATTTTTGTTTAAATGATGTTGAGATCTTATGGGAAGGTGATTTTTTTATTTTATTATCATATATGTGCTATAAATACAAAACAAAATAATAAAATCTAAAAAATCCAATTTATCTTCGCACTCTATCACTATGTAACTCCTTAATATAGCTCTGTTAATGAGTTAACAGAGTTCTGTTAATTTCCACTCTGTTAAATATCCAATTTAAATTGTCCAATTTATCTTCACACCCATTCCGATAAGGCCAGATGATTTCACCCGAGCTGTCAAAATGCTTTCAATTTTGACTTAATTGTGTGAAAACGTAAACAAAAAATTTGACAGCTTGGGGGATTTTAATCCAAAATTGTCAATAACGATTGCTTCTGACACGACCTGTTTATTGGATCATGAATTTTACTTGAGTTCGATGTGCAAAGTTGCCAACCATGTGAAATATTATAAAGAACAATTTGACAGATGGTCGAGACAAAAAAAAATGGGCTGTTCCCGTACTACAAGAACCTACTAGATTTTACTATTTTCTTCGATATACGTCACCTTATTATTGCATCATGGATTAAATCAAGGCATTGTAATTTGAAACCAAAATACTAAAAACACAGAATTATAAATGGCAAATCTCTGAATTTGGAAGGGTTTATTTCGACAACATAATTTATAACATTTTCTGAAAGAATATGTCCAAAAAATTTTATAAAATATATTAATATTAAAAGTTATATTTAGCAAAACTGGTATTGACATATTCACTCTAATATATTTCAATGAAAAAACTAGAATACATCGTAGACCCACTTGAGTGTTTTTTTAAAGTTACTGTATGGTTATAAGTTCGCCAAATTTCATGTACAGTCGAACACATGAAATTACTCTAGTGTGGACCGGCACTTTTTGAGACAAATTTTGTTCAAAAAAATCATTTGCAAAAATATGAGTCATATCTTCATTACATTTTTCAAAATGGGGGAAACACACAAATTGTGAGACAGATACGTGCCATTTCACCACGAAAAGGGTTGCCGTGCTAAATGAAATACTATTTGAAGTATAATGTTTGGGGCATTTATGGTCTTAGTATACATTTTTCCGCGCACGAAGTATAGTTTTACTTTGCATTTTTTGTTTACATTGATTTAAAAATTATAATACAATCTATTTACCCAAAAATAAATAAATTTATAGAAATTATCTGTTATAAAAGAAACAGAATGGCAACTCTGAACATCAGAGTATAAATACCCTGAATTCACCAATCCAACCAACACACAGCAACAGCCAGCGATAGACAAAGACGCAAAATATTTTTTCGTTTTCGTATCACAAAGTGATTGAATTTATCTGAAAATCTTGATTAAAAAAACAAATTTATATATTTATTAATAAATATATTCTTCTGCAAGAATGGGCAAAAAAAATAGTAAGTATTTCGTGGGTTGGTTGGTTTGTCTGGATGTGGATGAAATTTATTTGCATGTTTGTTTCATTGAATGATGAAATCGTTTGTTATTGTGTTTGTAGAACATAAGCAAACGGGAAATGAATCCGAAGGAAAGCCACAGCAACAAAGCCAGCCTCCGCAAGCTGGATCCCAGAGCACTTCTCAAGCTGGTACGTATCTTCAATGTTCCCGGTTTCGTAGCCACAATATTTGTTGGCGGATTCAAGACATTTTCTCTACATATAGGTCAAGGAGGGCAGCCACAACAGCAAGGTGCGCAGGGTGGAAAACAGCAGCAAAAGGGTTCAGGTCCACAACCAAGTACAAGTGGTGGTAATCAAGGTCCGCAACAAAAGCAAAGAGGTCCCGGTCCACAACAAGGGACAAGTGGTGCTAATCAGGGTCCGCAACAACATCAAAGCGGTCCCGGTCCGCAACAAGGTTATCAGGGTATGCAACAGCAGCAAAGGGGTCCTGGCCCACAACAACAGCAAAGAGGTCCTAATCCACAACAAGGTTCGTGGGGTGGTAATCAGGGTCCACAACAACAGCAAAGAGGTCCTGGCCCACAACAAGGTTCATGGGGCGGTAATCAGGGGCCGCAACAACAACAACAAAGGGGACCTGGTCCACAACAACAACAAAGGGGCCCAGGCCCACAACAAGGTTCATGGGGCGGTAATCAGGGGCCGCAACAACAACAAAGAGGAGCAGGTCCACAACAACAAAGAGGACCAGGTCCACAACAACAAAGAGGACCAGGTCCACAACAACAAAGAGGACCAGGTCCACAACAACAAAGAGGACCAGGTCCACAACAACAAAGAGGACCAGGTCCACAACAACAAAGAGGACCAGGTCCACAACAACAAAGAGGACCAGGTCCACAACAACAACAAAGGGGCCCTGACCCACAACAACAACAAAGGGGCCCTGGCCCGCAACAAGGTTCATGGGGCGGTAATCAAGGTCCACAAAAACAACAAAGGGGCCCTGGCCCGCAACAAGGTTCATGGGGCGGTAATCAAGGTCCACAACAACAGCAAAGAGGTCCGGGACCACGGCAAGGTGGTGGACATCAACAAATTGAAGCATCATTCCAGAAGCTATCACTGTCGGAGGGTAAACTGAATTCATACTTTATCTACAGCCGCTAATGCTTTTATACATTGCATCTTCCAGAAGGTGTACTACCGCCTAAACCAAAATCTTGTGCTGGAATTGTTCGCGGAACCCTGGGTAGACCAGGAGTTGTGGAAGTGAATTATTTGAGGTTGATTCTGGATAATATGCCCAATGAGGCCTATCACTACGATGTAACAATAACACCTGATCGACCAAAAAAAATGATGCGTCCTGCTTTTGAACAGTGCAAACGAGAATATTTTAACGGCATTGAGGCAGCGTTTGATGGCAGAAAGAGTTGTTATACCCCAGTGCGTCTCCCGGGCCCAATCGAATGTAAAATTCTGGTACGTAACATAATTATACTGCAGAATGCAACAAGTGCAACGTATTTTTTAAGGTTCCAGATTCTGGCGATCGTATGAAAGAGTTTCAAGTAGAGATTAAGGAAACGAATGATTGTGTCGTGGATCTTAATTCACTTCGAACGTAAGTCGAAATAACCAGCGAATTTTGTTGTATCCTTTTTAATGTCTCCATCTCGCAGCTACCACAATGACAAAGTTTCTGACAAACCAATGAGAGCCTTGCAAGCTTTGGATGTAATTTTGTCCGGAAATAATCATGAGCGAAGCGTTCGTGTTGGACGTTCCTTTTTCTGTAAACCAAAACAACCTGTTGATTTGGAAAATGGATATGAAGCCTGGACTGGTTTGTTCCAAGCCGCTATTTTGGGTGAACAGCCATTTCTTAATGTGGATATTGCCCACAAATCGTTCCCTCGTGAATGTCATCTAATTGATTACTTGTCAAACGAAAGAATTGACCCGAGACAACCTTTTAATAGATACCAATACGGAGATGTAGAACGTTACCTGAAGGGAATTGATATTGTGTATAAACCGCCAAAATCGTTTGGAAGCTTTGATAAAAAGTACAAAGTAATGGGAATTGGGGAATCAGCCACGAAAATACGTTTTAAAAACGATGAGGGCACGGAGATGACTGTTGATGCATACTTCAGGTCTCGTGGAAGTCCACTTCAGTATCCAAATTTAAATTGTGTTAAAGTTGGTTCTTCGGTTCGCTCAATATATTTACCGATGGAATTCTGTACCATTGCGGAAGGTCAAGCTTTGAATGTAAGTATACAAAATGATGTTCCTCTGTTCTTGTGTTTTTATGGGCATGGCAATTGTTTAGCGAAAAGACGATTCGAAACAAGTACAGCAGATGATTCGCTTTGCTGCAACATCGACCAATCGTCGTAAGGAAAAAATTATGGATATGTTGCAGTATTTCAATCTCAACGCCAGCATATTAGTTCAGTCATTTGGCATTAAAATTGGTACCAATTTTATAAAAGTTCCAATACGTATCTTGCCAACTCCATATATGGAATATTGGGAAGGTAGAACAGTTACCACCCAACGCGGCGCTTGGCGAATGGATAACCTAAAATTCCTGATGTGCTCGAAACCACAATCCGGTCATAAATGGGGAATCATATATGAAGACAACCCGCGATCCAGGCTGAATTACAATGAACTGGATCAATTCAAGAAGAAGGTAAGAAAACTAAATTATACAACTGCGAAAGCGACCAATACTAGTTTCATTATTTCCCAACTTGCCTGAATGTGATAGGTGTTAAATAAGTCCAGGGAGCTAAATATGAATCTTGAAAATACTGCTGAAATTATAAAGTACAGCAATATCAATAGCACACTTGAAGATCTGGCCAGGAAGAAATACGCTCTTGTTTTTGTTGTAATTGGTAGAAACGCGTACAGCGATATTAAGCAGAACGCTGAATTACGAGTCGGAATCTTAACACAGTGCATAAAGGAGGCCACTGTAGCCCGAACGGCTAGGGATGAAACAGTGTTTTCGAACATACTCCTGAAGGTAAATGCAAAGCTTAACGGAACCAATCACAAAATCTCTCAAAATGACGGAAGGATGAAAGCGTTGATGGCACCTATTAACAATGTAATGTTCATGGGTGCCGATGTAACGCACCCCTCCCCCGACCAGCGTCACATACCTAGCGTGGTGGGAACTACAGCTTCACACGACCCGTTCGGCGCCTGCTACAACATGCAGTACAGATTGCAAAAGTCGACTAGGGAAGACATCGAAGATATGGAATCGATCGCCACACGGCACTTGCAGGTCTACTTCCAATACCAGAAACAATATCCTTCTCAGATCATTTATTATAGAGACGGCGTGTCTGACGGTCAATTTCCCATAATTGCGAATGTCGAATTGAAGGCAATTAAAAGGGCTTGCGCCAAATTGGTAAATAAGTCTATTAAAGGCACTGTATAATTGTAGTAATATTTAAATGTCACCATTTTATTGCCACAGCGTTGTGCCCCGAAGCTTACCTGTGTAATTGTTGTAAAGCGACATCATACCAGGTTTTTCCCCATGACGAGTCCACGTCACGACCGTGACTTTAATAATGTGGAACCTGGCACTGTTGTCGACCAACATATTACACATCCAAATGAAATTCAATTCTTTATGGTAAGCCACCAATCGATACAAGGAACAGCAAAGCCAACTCGTTACAATGTCATTTTGGACGAATCGAATCTTAATATAGATCTTTTGCAACAACTGACTTACAATCTATGTCATTTGTTTCCACGTTGTAACCGTGTTGTGTCATATCCGGCTCCAGCATATTTGGCTCATTTGGTAGCATTTCGAGGCCGAGTATATTTAGAAGGGTAATACATTTGAATTGTGATAAAATTGCAGTATTTTTTGTTATTCGTTTTTTTTTTTTTTTTGTATTTTTAGTGCCAGAAATTTTTCCACCGATCTAAGCCGAGAATACAAGCAACGTACAATAAAGGAAAATGTTATGCAATGTAATCCCATGTATTTCATCTAAACTTATATTTACATTGTCATTCAAAATACCAATAAAGCATATTTAATACTTCTTTGCATCATACTAATTATTATTTATATATTTAAAAGAGAAGTAAGCTTTTGATTTTTCTTTTGTATGTCATTGTTTTAATGTTCATTAAAAACACATAGTTGCAAAAATAATACACTTAACGAACGGTAAATTGAGGTTAATCTTTTCCATTTAGTAGTTGTAATTGCGATAAACTTGCATTGGATAAATATTTTTGCATTGGATGATGGTTAACATTTTCAATCATACTGTTTTGTTGTTAAGTTTTTTTTTTATATAAATCAATACTAAAATGATTTGAACATGTTTCCCTTAATTTTGAGGATGACTTTTTTGCCAAAATTCCAATAATAAAAAAGGACTTATGATTGAGAAACCATAGTCTGATTTGAAGGATAAGTCTGAATCCTAAGGACTATTTTAATTTATTTTGTAAAATTTTAAATCATTTCTAAAAAAAATATTTTTCAATACGTTTCAAAGTTGAACTTGCCTAAATGGGAAAATTCATGGTACAATAATACAATAATATTGGGGAAAATTCCCCAACATTATTGTATTATGCATAGGCATATGCAAACTTTTTTATGTTGGTCGCCTGTAACAACTGGCAACCCATCATAGGTTTGGTTACTACTGCGACATGCCAAATATATACTACACTATACAGAATTCCATCATCCAATGTTTTTCATTTATTCAATTATCAGGACAAGTTTCGTCATAGATAAATACCTCGTTGGTGTACTGAAGAGTTCCGGATTTTATTTATTTATATCTAGTTCACATAACTTTACTTAAGTTTTATAAAAATGTACACAACACTACATTTAAAATGTTCTTATTAAAAAAGCTAACCTAATTTCAAGCATTTCCGTTATTGAGAAACTTCTTGTTGTTGGGTTCCATTGTTTTCGTGTGTCTGCAATGTCTTGGGAGCGGGTTTAAATTTGCGATACACTTCATCATTGTAACCTTCAATATTTCGAGCAATTTCAATGGCCAGAAACTGAATACGCACTACAAGCAGTGAATTTTCGGGAGAAAATTCCTTTGAAGCATCAGCCCTAAAACGAATATCATCTTCAACATAAGTTGATTGTTTGGAAAAGTCACACATACCTCATTAATGTTCCATACGAATAATCTTCTAGTTTATTGAATTTCTCAGCAAAGTTACGCCAAGCCAATTTTGCTTCAGGAGATTTTAAAATTTCGTCGGACAATACATCGACTTTTAAATCTGGGAAATCTTGGCGGAACGTTTGGTAAATTTGATCATCATATGGTGTTAGTCTGAGGCATGAAGGATGAACACTAGTAATCAACTGTAAAAGTAAAACACTATTGAATTTTTCGTATGTGTCTACAGTAATTTGAGGGAGCAAGTCCTGTGATAGCCTTTTACAAAAGATGCACATAGCCCATATTCAACCGAAACGTGCGAAAATTATAAATGTATTTCAATTATAGTACATATATGTATATAAAGCATTTTGAATTGAATTCCAGACCAAGGATTTAGAATAAAGACCGAACCATCGACTGAAATCTATTGAAACACGTTGGACGAATATCGTTGTTTGTAAAGAAATTAGTTTTTTTATCAATTTTTTCTGAAGTTAAATTCCCCAAAGGGTAGATATTTAAAGTGCCGAATAGTCAAATACTTTTAATAATGTTATTTCGTATCCGATATTAATATTAATTCTGAATATGGACAGACCTTTAAAGACGCAATTTGTTTAATATCGGCATATACATAAATATATGGTTCCGAATGTTAAAGCTAATCAGCTGTGGCAAAACATTTCAGACCTATCCCACAAGACAGTGCTCCCTCCCAACGCAAAATAAACCTACATTAAAGTGCACTTCGGCATGATCCATCGCTTTTACCGCCCACATCTCCTCTACCAAACCGTCATTGCCAAATTCTTCGGCCGGTCTCGACAATAATGAAGCACCTTGCTGAAATATTATAGACGTTGTTTTATTGATGTAATGGAATTGATTTCTCTTTTGTACGAACCAGTAATTCGGCCATTCCTAGTCCCTTTTTTTGTAAATCTCAGAAGAAAATCCCAAAGCACCAACACGTGAAACGAAACAATGAACTAAAAACACTAACATTAGAGATGGCAAACAATCGATAGCAAACTATCGCACAAAGCGAATATCGATATTTTGTCTGCTCTACAACCATCATCATCATCTCCACAAACAATTTGGTCCGTTCCAGAACCTGCCAGAATTTACAAATGTTTACTACGATAACAATTTACCTTTTTATTTACGATAACAATTAATCTATAATAATATAATAATCTACTAATTTTTTGCAACTTTTTACTCTAAAACCATTCATGAACCCACAAAACTTGAAAAACATTGAAACAAATTTAAGAGAACACAAAACAAAATCCTCATAGAGAAGGTTAACCCGGTTTTAATATTTTCTTAGATATCATAAAGGAAAATTCGTTATGGTAGTAAAAAGTTGAAGATTCTTGCAGTACGGGAACGTACCAATAATGTAAATGCAGTTTTATGCTGATTTTGAAGTATTGCCTAATTTTGGCATATTTACTTGATTTTCGAATATATATTATATTCCTAAAATTTGAATACTTCACGTCGTTTTGCATCATTTTACAAAAAAATGGAGGGAACTATTTTGAATTTTGTAATACTGAGTTTTTAAAAATCTTACTGGACAAATCTACTCAGCTAAATTTTGTACAAGTAAAAAACTATGGAAATGATTATCATTTTGTTATTTGATTAAGAATAAACTCTCACAAAATAACTTATTGAGTAATTATTACCTGATTTAAACACAACAATCGACAATCACACATCTTTTTCAGGTGTTATTCAAATCATCTACAGTTGAAATTTGGTGATAATTTTTTTATTTTAATCATTTCATTTGTAATTCGAAGCGTGTTTGTTAAATTCGTGACATTGCATTTGTAATTCATAGCATTTTATTGCAAATTCGTATTAAAATGATTTCATTTCGATAAAATTTTATTATATTGTAATTGAAATACTACGAATTATAAAAAAAATATGTTATGAATTACAAAAAAAACTGTTATTAATTACAAATGAAATTATTTACATTTCAAATTTTATTTTGTATGTTGAATTGGAATTGAAATAATTCGAAATTCAAATGAAATTATCGAATTACAAATGAGTTGTAATGACTCGCAATTGAAATTATTTTTTTTTTTGCAATTACAATTTAATTGGTTTGCAATTTAATTAAAATTGACATTTGCATTTTTTGAAAGAAAGAAGGAAATAAATAAATTCTCAATTTAAATAAAGGCTTAGTTAATCACAAATAAAACACTTACCAGAAATAAATATTGCAAAGTTCTAACCGCTATTTTAATGTTGAAGCACTAGATTTTTTTCCGTAATTCGGAAAACCCGTTTTATAGCACAGATATCAAGATATTTTTCGTCACGGATTTCTTCAATTGATTAATGAATGATTATTATTTAGAAATATTACAATTATTTGGCACTTTTTTAGTTATAATTTGCATTTAATACCGGCAGAACACGAAATGCGCGATATTAACAAGAAAAAAAATTGCATTCCTGCACTTAAACGCACCATTTTAACAACAGAGCCAATCGCGAATTTAATAAATAAACGACCGACCACACAAAAAAATATTTTTTACAAGGATTAAAAACAAATATTACTATATTTTTAACCTCTTTTTTTTTTGCTTTGCGAAAAAATACTCACTCCTGGGCTTATATATTTTTAAACAGGCAAAATGCTCAATTTCAACATGAAACACCTTCACACATTTTGTTTTCCTTTATGTAGTTTGGCCACGGCTCCCCGATAAAGAGTAAAGAACGCCATTGCCGCATTTACGTTAAACCGAACATCCGAAACACAAATTATATAGGTGGTCGCTTCTGTGTGTATCTTCGATCATTTGAATATGTTTAAATATAAAGATTACTTGAATTTAACACTCGTTATGCTATTCATTCTTACAGCGCACGCGATATTACAAGACCAAAATTATATTCCTGCACTTGTATTAATTTATGACTGCAAGGAAACGCACAATTTCCAGAACAAACACATTTGCACATTCCTTTTCCTTTACGTAGTAAGAGTATAAAAACGCCTTCACCGACATTCGCGAATGTGTGAAATGAACGCCCGACCACATTTACAATAAACCGAACATCCGCATCACAAATCGAAGATGTCGTCGCTCCTTTTTTTTAACCACGAATGACAGCTATGTTTTCCACAGGAATAACTTCAATTTCACAAAAGCTTTGCTTTTAGTTGTTTGTTTAGGAAAATGCTATTAACATTTATTTCAATGAAAATTGTGGAATTGATTTTTTCACAAGCTATTTCATTTAACAACAAATTGTACACAATTTTGTTTTATTCACTCAACAAACTTCAATGCAAAGATCGACCAGCCAACTTTCGCAAACCGTTAACTTTGATAGAGTTGCCATGGTATAATTTGCAATAGACAATCAAATTCAGGGATTAATGGATCGATAATTGTTGAAGAATAATTGACAGGAATGATTTAAAAGGAGTTTACATGTACATCTAATAACTTTTGAATTTCTGATATTTTTGACGTATAATAGAGGGAAATAACGTTTAAATATATCATAATAAAGAAAAACGATATAAAGTAATAGAAATGACACCTATTTCGTTTCCAAATACATATGTATGTATTACTCCCATTCCATTCCAGAAATTATTTTTCGATTTTTGGGTCTTTGACAATTTTCGTTATATTAAGTTAAGGCAACCCCCCCCCCCCCCCATTCTCGATTTTATATTTTCTAAATTTTCAATGGACTGGTAAATGAATACCAATGCATATTAAGGTTTGTAACTATACACATACATATATAATTGAAGATTTAAAAGAGAAGAAAAATAATTTACAAAATTTTGTTGTTGTTTTTGGTGATTGAAGTAAAGTCCTTATTTTTTATGGCGGGCATGATAACACCTCACTGGAACATCGGAATCCGAAAATTCCAACGGTGTTAGAAAGGGTACATGTCTGGCTCTCGTATGAACTAGGATTATTGGCTTCGCTCAAAAATCAACAAAAAAAAAAAAAAAATGGCGGACCTTTAAAAAAATATTTTTGAAAAAAATATTTTTTACCACAAACCAAGTAAAAAAATAAGGAAGATCTCGACCTATTGGATTTATCCTAGTTCATAGCTATACACTCACAGAGAAACGTCCCAAAATTTTTCGGATTGTTAGTTTTTGAAATTTGCCCGCCATAAATTTCATTTGAAAAATAAATCGACTATATCTTGAAGAGTTCTTGGGATTTTCATTTGAAATTTTGTAGGGACATTCTTGAATTAGTATAGATTCGAAAAACTAAATACAATTTTTTGACCCCGTGAATGGGGGGGTCCCCTTAATGTAGGGTAAGCGGAATAGATTCGTGAGCCATTCGTCGCGATATGTGTTATCGAAAATGCAATAACTACAAGGGTACGATTAAATCAACAATTGATGTTGATGTGTGTTGAACTTTGGAGAAATGCAAGAAAGTGTAATGCGATCATTGTGTGGAGCCCTTTAAACTTTTCAATACAAAATGTCGATTAATCGATTAGTTGAAAGTCGACTAACATATCCCTACATAAAATGCGGTAAAGCAACACCAGATTTCGTATTAATTGGTCTCTTATTTATATGTATTATAATATATATTTAATACCATCCAGCCCATTAAAACTTAGTTACAAAAATTTATGCTTAACCCGAATAATGCATGTCTAGCGTATGAGTTATTTTTCAAAAATACTGCCTGAGTAATATTTGATATCGCTATTACAACTCTGTCCAGCTCCTTCGTTCAGTTTAGGGTTGCATTTGACCGATGGCAACTGTCAAACTTGACGAAACTCTTTGACAACTGGCCGCTGCTACTTCCGACAGCGCAACTGTCAATTTCTTTCTTTTTCGTATTTTTACGATAGTTGTTTGGTGTAAGTTTTCTAAGTGAAATTTTTAAATCAAAAAACATCGTGCTTTGCGAAAAGAATTGAATAGAAAATCATTTTGAAAGATATACTCAGTTAACTAAAGAATTTAACGAAATGAAAATGTCCATTAAAAGTGTTATTGAAAATGAAAAAACCCCAACTTGAAGAGATGTCGCCTTCGGCAAATGATGGAAAGAGCTCGTTAATGTTTTTGCCTTGTACGAAGAAATAAACAAACCACGGTGACGATGAAACCCCGCCACCAGTTGTCATTTTCACTAACGCTTGCAGATTGTGTTGTAGTTTTAGATGAAGTTAAAAGTGTGTCCGAAGAAATGCATTAATGTTTGCCCCTTTCCGTTTCTTTTGCAGTGAACCCAACAAAGCACATCCAAAATGAAATTGAACAAGTTCGTGACATCTTCCCGCAGAAAGAACCGCAAGCGCCATTTCCAGGCCCCCTCCCACATTCGCCGTCGTCTTATGTCGGCTCCCCTCTCCAAGGAGTTGCGTCAAAAGTACAACGTTCGCTCCATGCCCATTCGCAAGGATGATGAAGTGCAAGTTGTTCGCGGCCACTTCAAGGGTAACCAAGTCGGCAAAGTTGTCCAAGCCTACCGTAAGAAGTTTGTCGTCTACATTGAAAAGATCCAACGTGAAAACGCCAACGGCACCAATGTTTATGTTGGCATTCATCCCTCCAAGTGCTTGATTGTCAAATTGAAGTTGGACAAGGATCGCAAGGCTATCTTGGAACGTCGCGGCAAGGGACGTTTGGCTGCTTTGGGCAAGGACAAGGGCAAATACACCGAAGAAACCGCTGCCCAACCCATGGAAACCGCTTAAGCCTGATTTAGTTCATAGTTGTGCTGTGTAGTATATCAACAACAACAAAAACAAACAACCATCAATACAATTATCGGGAGGATGATGGCATACGAAATAATGGTCAGTGACTGTTGACGAATGCCATCGATTTATTTTTATTAAAATACAAAACCACTGGATTTCTTTAAAATAAAGAAAACAACTGTTTTATAAAATTAAGACGTAACACTGAATTTTTGTTCGGAAGGAAAACAAGAATCACATATATATGCTAAAGGTAAGCCAGCGATTGCAATTGGCCAACGTAGTAAATGAATGAATTTTAATTACATTCGGTTGCAATTTGTTTTCATTGACAGGAGGAGAGTTGGGATGCAATCTATGATAAGATCCAATCTGGTCTTATGATAGAAGTTTCAAGCTACGAAAATTCATTAGATATAACAATATATATAATATAGAAGTGCTTACACAGTAGTATAATTGGAAATAATTTGAAACATGCTAGATTTATAATAAAAAACATTCATGATGTTATCAGAATGATTTGGCGCCGAAAAAAAAATCAACTACTGTCCATCTTCTAGCAAGGGAGAAAATGAAAAAAAAAAACACAGATATTTAAAATAAGACAAATAAATTAATTGTTTGCAATAGAATTTTGGTTAGCCGAGAAGCTTCGAAAGTATAGAACATACGTTCCCAAAAGAATAGTAAGTAGTCTGCAATGACAGTAATAGAATGTGTTGGGGTTGGTTGTCCATTATTTGCCAGTTTGGATTTAACTACAAAATGTAATGGGTCAAACAAAAATAATATCCTTGAATATTTAATGTGTAAATAAATCAATATTAAACTGTATTTTTTTTAATTTAAAATGACAGTCAAAACGAATGTTTATTATATATCATAAACGAACAAAATGTACAAAGTTTTACTTTGTCCGTGAGTAATTAGAAGATTATTTGTTTATATTTTGTAAATCTGTTTTACCATTATCTTTGTTAGACACTTGAAAGAATGAAAATTCGATTATTTCTAATTTTGTAAAGAATACATTTGCAATTACAGTAAAAACTCGCTAATCCGGATAATTGATTGCAGACCCCAATCCGGATTACCGAGATTTCCGGATTATCGAGTTTTATTAATTGGTTTAAATTTATATTAATTTGGTGATAATTTAATTATTTTTATGTTTTTATTGAAAATGAAAATTATTCATTTCAAAAATATGAACTTTGAATATAATAAGTACCATTTTCAATTAAATTTGCAAAAAAAAAATTATTCAAATAAAAAGTAACGTATCTTTACAATCCGGATTTTTGAGTCAAATAGGTCAATCAATCCGGATTATAGGATACGCAATGGGTTGTGAAATGCAGTCCGGATTACCGAATAATCCGGATTGTCGAGGTCCGGATTATCAAGTTTATACTGTATTTGTATCAAATTTAAATGTCTATAAAATAGTATCTTCTTTTTATCTCTATAAGTAATTCGTTGTTATCTAACAGCTATAATAAGGATAATTTCATCTGTAGACCAATCAATCAATTTAGGTGCACCTCTAAGAATTTTCAAAGTATATAGCATTTTTGATATTGATTACATTTAGATTATTTTTTCGATGAAAATCAAATTCCAAATATTACCCCATTTTTTAATCATTTTTGTAAAAAAATCATACAACAGACATTTTTTTGATTCTGTTTACAGCGACATATATTTTTGTGGAAATTTTTGTGGAAATTGTATTAGAACCTAAACGGACTTCAACCACTTTCAAAATTAACTACTCAAATAGTTCTTCAAAATTGGACTAATATGAGAATCTTATTTAAATTTAAAATGTCTTCCTAAATTGGAGGCCTTCTCCTGGGATTCTAAGCAGCCGGACTTCGATCGGTTATTTCACTTATTTCAAGCCAACATGACCAATTACTTATATTAACATATATAACAATTGTATGCAAACAATAAAAATCCCCAGAAACATAATATGCAGTAGATCTAGAACTTAAGTTCTAATGTATATGCCGTTTAAGAGTAACATAATTTTTGATCAGGGTTTTAAGACATTCTTGCATGAATGAGTGGAAAACCTGTTTTCATGAACTGATCTAATAAATATGTTTATGGATAGACGTCGTTGTACGCCAGATCTGGCGTATTTTTTAAAATTTACTACTGCGCCAAATTAATTTCCCCATAAGCGGAATTTTTATGAATATTACAAAATGCGAAAAAATAAATTTCTAAAGTAATAATTAATAAGCAGATATTGTTAAATTAATAATATTGTTAAATTAAATATATATATATATATATATATATATAAGGGTGAATTAAATTAAAATAATATAATTGGTTATTTAAATATATATCAAATAAATATTTTATATATGAATATATAAAAAAAACTTTCCTCGAGAAATATTTTATCTGATCAACATAAGACCAAATAGGAAGAAAATCCATATGACGGAATATTAAATCAATTTTATTACCTGCAGAACTAAAACTGTTTTAAATTTGACTCTAATTTTGTTTCGAATGCTAATTGTTCAGATAAAAACTATTTTATACAACTCAAACAATCACAGAGTACAAAATATGCCGACATTCCATCTTGGATCAATTTCAAAGTCGAAGGCAGCCATAAAGTGGATACCCAACTTTTGATTTTTTATTTGAAGTAGTGATTTTCAAAGTTTATGTGTATCATAGGAAGTGTAGCATTTTTTTTAGTTATTTAATTTAAAATTCAAAATCCCAGTTTATATTTTATGTTGTACTTTCGATCCATTATTTGCCTGTTATAATTTATTTATTTCTTATAACAATATACGTACATACATATGTGAAGAAGAACATTTTGTAGGGTACTTCATAGTCGTCTTTGGTATTGGTTATAAATTGTCTCCATTGTTGTGTGTGCGTGCGTGTATACATTTCGCCTCTCTCCTCTACATATGAACATTATCACCTATCCCCCCGTCAAAAGCTCCCATGTTCTAACGACGACAGCGAACGATTACTATTCATATCAAGCAAATATGAAGGCAAATATTAGCAACAAATTGAAACGACAACTAAAAAATGGTAAATTGTTGTTAGGATGTTGGAGAAGGGGGCGGGAATGGTCTTCTTGCGCTTTCTTGTTAGTTTAACATCAAACAAAACTCACCACAGTGAGAATCAAGAGCTTCGTACGACCACTGGAGGATCTAGTTAGATCAGTTTGTGTCAGCAGTCAGACGTTGGAGGTCGTAGTGTTTGCCACGGTTCGCCTTCCAGTTCCGTCACATCGAGACTTGTACTAGGCCATCAATTGATCGCTTATTTGACAGCGCGTGTGTGTGCGTGTTTAATAAATTGAATTAATTCTTTAATATTCTTAAGTGAAGCAGCACCAGCAACAACAACAAAATGAATGTTTTGAGAAAATTGCCCACACGTTTGGTAAGTAATTTTCCATACAACATAATATTAAAAAAAAACTAAAATAAAAATATACACACATAACTTGTTCTGTGTGAAAACAACAACAACCGCTACAAATAAAAACATACAAACCGTATTTATGTAATTTCCCAATAAATATCTTATGTTTATATTTTTCAACAGATCGCCAATGCCTTGCGTCAACAACAAAGTGCCGCTATGTCCTCCGGCACTGCCACTACTCCCACCCCATTGACTTTCCTTACTGAGGATGAGAAGATGATGAAGGAAACCGGTAAGTTCACAATAAATCACAATGTGTCTACGTGGAAAATAAGATTGTGGTGTGATACCATATAGGTTAATTCTATAAGGTGGGTCGATGTTTGCAAAAAAGAAAAAAATGGTCCAGCGAGTTTTTTTTGCGCAGATATGTTACGTAACTATCGTAAGGTTCCACTTTTATTTTTGTTTATCTCAAAAACTACATTTTGACATGGTGGAACCAAAAAAATTAATTGCGTCGCAATTAAAAAATAATAAGGAAAAATAATAAGAAAGGAAAGCTCGATTTGGAGAAATACGAATAACAGAATTAATTTGTATACAATATATACGATCGTTGCATTGGCATTGCACATCAATTGAACAAATAGTCAGTTAGGGTTTTTTGGCTCTCAAAAGAATGTTCTATAAAAAATCACTTGGAAGGCAATACGTTGGCAACGATACACTTTGTGATTCGTTAGGTTTCAACAAATAAATTTATTGAACAAAACCATACCAAATGGAGGAATATAATTTATGCACACTCGGTCTACAATACCAACCCACTTTCAAACACACACAACCGGCCACAATGAATGTCAATTAACAGTAACAAAGTAAGTTATCAATAACATTACATAACAATGAACTCTTAAGCCCTATAAGTGATCGCCAACCCATATTCAGATGATCACAGGGATGGGAAATTTCAAAGTGATTTTTAGAAATTAATTCAAAAAGTAAGAGTAGTAAGAATGTAATAATTCTTACTATATTAATTGTTTCATATCGTATAATATTAAACTTTTTATGATGTCCATAAGTTATCTCTGATCGTTAGGTCAAATAAAATTATTGTTAGTTATTGGCAGTTGATTATTATAGTCCAATGGTTTCATTTTTTTATTTTTCTCGAATAACACATTTCTCTTACTCAATAGTCTATTTGGTATCAAAATCTCTCGATTTGAAATGAAAAATGGTCTAGTATGTAAAATCACGAACAAAATTTTTAAACCCATGCTTATATCTTTCAATATACATACAGTCGAAATCCTTTGTAACGACATATCAGTTAAAATGGCGGTAACCAAAAGTTCTATATCTTTTGCCAGTCCTTTGACAGTCAACTGTATATATATATATATATATATGTATATATATATATATATATATATAAAATATATATACATTTTCGCTAACACATGGTTTAATCTCTGATAGAGATCGTGGATTCCTTTTTTCAAATCCATTTCCGAATTTTATTGCATATTTGATTCATATAACTGATGTATAAGGTTGCTTATCATCTGAAATATTCCTCAGCGATTCGGAATTTATCATTATCTTGGTTTATTTCCCATAAGTCCGAAAATCTTTCTATTTCTTTCTATTTAAGTCCACTCTTCTGTACTGTCATCAAAACTTTATTATTTATTAATTTTATATTTAATATAACATTTTTATCTTAACAAAAAAATATAGTTTATATTAATAAAAAATTATTTATTGTCTTCATGGGATTTTATCCCATAATCTAACGAAGTGTTGTATACGTGGTTAGTTAACACCCTCAATTAATTTTTGGCAAAATTTTTGTTACATTTCAATGTGCAAATTAGAAAATAAATTAACACATTTCATCAATAAACATTCGTTTAGAGAGAAAATACGTTATTTGCATTTAACTAGAATAAATAACTTTTGTTATTAGATTTATTTAATTTGATTTTTTTTCTATAAATAAAATCATTTAAAAACACACACACGTGCCCCGATACATACATTCTTTCTCACATACATCAACCCAAGAGAAACTGGCTGCAGAGTAGGAAAGATGGGAGACATACTCGTGGTAGATAGAGAGCGAGTGAGAGGAAGGTAACACAGTACTGTGCTTAGTTCTTTGTTCGGCAAGGCATACCGTAGCTGAGTTGGTAGGCACGTCGCAGACTATGTCATGGAAAATGTTATGTAGGCAAGGTTGTGGGTTCGAAACTCGCTGGGGAAATGTGTCGAACTTTATATGATGTGGGATCTGTCGTCTGTGGTGTTCGGTGGGGGAGAGCTGAGTTTTTAAAAGGCCGGCAACATAATTTCAATAATTTCATTCACAAGCCTAGTCAGCGGTTTAAATGGGTGTTCCTCTCCTAGCGGATTGGAACCAGTCCAGTGTTTAAACGGCGTTACACTTGTGATAGAGCAAATCAGGGAATCAGCTTTGCGCCTGTGACCGTTCACTGTTCTAGTGGACTCACGTGGATTGCGATGTTGGAATCCGTAACTTTCCTAGAGAGTTGAATTGATGGCTTTAAATAGACAGCCCGATTCTTAGTTGGAAAGTTGACAATTTTATATACATATATATATATTATATTATGTGTTCCATTATTTATTCAAAATACATACATAGTTAGTTAGATATAGTTAAAAATGGAAAGATATGGAAATATTTTTTTTTGTGTGATTGCAAACACATCAGTTGTTATCTTATCTACAAACTAAATTAAGTTTTCCATAAAAAAATTATCAACATTTGTTTCATAATACATATATATTTGTTTATGGATTGCCGTAACAAAACCGAGGTGGAAAATTTAATATATTGAATGTAATTAAAACGTTATCACCTAATCAATACCACCGAAAGACATTATAACTTTTTTTTGAAATATCTTGATTAACCGTACTTAACTAACAATGTACCTAGGAGAGAATGCAGATATATCTCGAAATGATACGAAAAATGTCGTTAAACTGACTATTATTGTATATGGGACATAATTTTATACTTTTCTTTCGCTTACATCGATATATATATATATAGCAACAAAAGGAGATGTAGAAAAAATATAATTGGAAAAAAGAAAACGAATGGATTTTTATTTGTATTCCTTACCAAATTATGTAAGTCTAATTTAACAACCATCACCCACCTTATGGAAGAATAGTATTTCCACAATTAATTAAAAACGAACGTGTGTTCACATTCTGATTTATTTTTTTCTTTCATTCTTCATCATTATTATTTTTTGTTTCTTTTCAAAAACAGTTGCCAAAATTGCTCAGGAACAAATTGCTCCCCATGTCAAGAAAATGGACGAACAACACAAATTCGAACCCTCTGTTGTCCAGGCTATGTTCGACAACGGTTTCATGGGTATTGAAATCGACACTGAATTGGGTGGCAGTGGATGCAATTTCTTGACCACCATTTTGACTGTTGAAGAATTGTCCAAAGTTGATCCAGCTGTTGCTGCTTTGGTTGATATTCACAATACCTTGGTCAACTCCTTGATCATTAAGGTAGCCAATGAGGAACAAAAGAAGAAATATTTGCCCAAATTGGCTCAAGAATATGTAAGTACATCCTTGAGTAAGGAAACCAGAACGTATGGGAAATAAATATATTTTTGTTTTTGTTTGCAGCCCGGAAGTTTTGCTTTGACTGAACCCGGCTCTGGTTCTGATGCCTTCTCCTTGAAGACCACAGCTAAAAAGGATGGCAACCATTACATTCTAAACGGTTCCAAGATGTGGATCTCCAACTCTGATTTGTCTGGTGTGTTTGTTGTATTTGCCAATGCCAAGCCCGAAGATGGTTACCGTGGCATTACCACATTCTTTGTTGAACGTGACACCCCCGGTTTCACCATCAACAAGCCCGAAGACAAATTGGGCATCCGTGCCTCTGGTACTTGCATGTTGACATTCGAAAATGTTCGCATTCCCGAAGAAAACCTTTTGGGTACATTCGGCCATGGTTACAAATACGCCGCTGGTTTCTTGAACGAAGGCCGTATTGGTATTGCCGCCCAAATGATTGGCTTGGCCCAAGGTATCTTTGACCACACCATCCCCTACTTGTTGGAACGTAAACAATTCGGTTCGGACATCTACAGCTTCCAATCTATGCAACATCAAATCGCCACCGTTGCCACCGAAATTGAAGCTGCTCGCTTGTTGACCTACAATGCTGCCCGTATGGTTGAACACGGTGCACCCTTCGCCAAGGAAGCCGCTATGGCCAAATACTATGCCTCCGAAGTTGCTCAACGTGCTGCCGTTAAGTGTATCGACTGGATGGGTGGTGTTGGCTTCACCCGTGACTTCCCCCACGAAAAGTACTACCGTGACGTTAAGATCGGTGCTATCTATGAAGGTACCACCAACATGCAGCTCAGCACAATTGCCAAGCTCATCAAGAAGGAATACTCCTCTTAGGCGGTAAAAACATGCTGTGCATGTTCATGCTAGTGATTCATTTTGAAACACCATCCTTCCATCGTTAAAAATACTACATCGTAACAGATACCAACAGTGCATTTAATGGGTACCACTGAATGACCGTCCATTGTAAATGGCAGGTCGTCATGTGCTATCTGTACATTGTTTTGTAATTAGGGATTGTAACAGTGATTTATTTTTTTATTAACAGTAAACAAATTTACACAAATAAAAATAAAAAATAAAAATAATATAATTAAAAAAAAATTGTTTCAATTATTTCACATCGTTCTTTGTGGTGGTAAAAGCAGCCAGAAGTATATTCACAACGGTGATGACAAACACACCGCCCAAAATAAATTCATTGTAACGTTTATTACGGCATCTCCGAAAACGACGCTGTAAGACAGACATTTGCGGTCAATAGATAGATTTGGAATGCAACAAATTCTTCTACTTACCTTAAAGATCAAAGCTATTCCAACTGTTATTTGCATTATTAACGATAACGATACCAGAGCCATGCTAATGTAGTAAGTGGAAGCATCGTGATTGTAGGTAATTAGAAAGCGCAACTGATTGGCATTAGCTGCCAAGAGAGAAATATCCATAAGACCTTCAGCTATATTTTTATTACCAGCATAGCTGTTGGCACCATTCGGTTCTTCTATTGTTATTTTATAAGGATTTCCAGACGTTTTGGATGCGCTTTTCTTAGCACTATCACCACCAAGCACTGTATTCTTATTGTCATTGCCACTACAACATTTGTCGCTCATTTCACTGATGTCATCATCATCATCATCTATGGACTGATCAGCAGACGATGTTGAGGAGGAGACCGATAAAGTGGGTACCTCTCTTTTTTTAACGTTTAACAATTTTGCCATAACTAGTTCAGAGTAATTTTTCTATGGAACAAACACTTTATACGCATGTAAACAATTTGAAATTCAATCCAGCCATACACCAAACAGAGTGTCTAGCTTGGTGTCTATATTTCTTCTTTGTTTGTATGTCATTCATTCTTTTCGTTTTGCGGTTTTTGTGGACTTTAATGATAATAGCAGCGACCACGGGAGTGGAAACCATTCCATTTTCTCCCAAAATGTTTTTTTTTTGTTTTAAATAAAAAATTGTTTTAGCGAGAGCTTCTAATGGGAAATTACTTGAATTGAAATGAGTACAAAAATATAATCTTAGAATATAATAATTATTTTTTGGAGTTTTTCTAAGTTAAATTAAATATATATCATCAATTCGCCAAACTTTCATCTTGCCTATCTATACTGCTGACAATTTAACAAGGCTTCTACTAAAAAGATGAAGTATACTTTTAGGCGGCATTTTGTAAATCATGAAAACAATATGCGTAATCACCGACAACAACCCTCATTTCGATAATGTTAATACATTCGATATATTATGTATCGCTTATTTTCTGTAAAACCGACATAAATTAAAAAATATTAATTGATTTTGGAGAAAATGCCTTTGAGTCTTTAATCCACTCACACCTAACAGGTGTGCGAACAAGCCTGCATCATTAACTCAAAAGTCACGATTTTGATATATGCGAAATGAATATCAAGAAATTCATATTGGCCGAATCTTTTTGGTCAAATGAAAAAAAAACTGGTAACACTTGTATGACAACTGGGACTGCGTTAAAAGTAGCTGTCGATGCTTAGACTTAATGCAAAGTCGTGCCGTTTTTATGATGTGATAACGTTGTGTGTGTTTGTTAGCCAATATTAAAAGCCGGCTTTTTGAATCAAGTCTCTGAGAAACACACACAGACACTCTCTCTCTCCCTCTCTTGTATGCGATAACTAACTCTCTTTGCATTTAACATTGGACCGTAGCCGCTCGGTGGTTCGGCATGTCAGCTATGGTTAGATTCTAACCTTTAGAATGAGCGATTGTGCGCATCTACCACTGAGTCTTGAGTCATGATTGCTGCTATAGCAACCCTCTTTGTGGGCGACTAATAAGCATGCTATTGTCCGGACAAAAGTGGAATTGTGTTTCAGTATAAAAACGTCGTCTCTGTTTCAACGACGTTGGTTTTTTTACTAACTTGTGTTGTGTTTCTTGTGTGTTAAAAATACTAAATACAAGGAAAAAAACATAATATATACATTCTCTATATCCTGAAATCCGTGGAGGTGTTAAAATAAACATATTATTTTCGATATTTGAGTATGTTCTTTTCGGTATTTTCAGTTTGTGTTTGCTAATTTGGTTTTGTTCCGAACAGAGGAAAAACTCCTCCAAACATACACCCAAATACAAGGAGTTTCGACGTCATCGTTGTATTTGATTGCTTTTGTGGTAAAAGAATTGGCTGCCATCGTCGTGTACCATCACCGCGCACCGTCAAAAGAAAACCAAGAAGAATGAAAAACAAAATACGAAATACAGCAATAATGCTGAATAAAAACGAAGGACAAGGCAAATTACACAAACGTTTTAACAAATAATGTGTGCCACCTTTGTCGCGTGTGATTTAAAATTGAAACACACTCATACATATGTATAATAATTTAAATATAACATGAGTGTGTATTGAAAAGGGTACCGGTAATCAGGTGTCTTAAATATAATACCGTTTCCTAAAACAAAAATTCGGGGATACTCGTTGTTCTACGACATACACACACATAGTTTATCATTAAGCTTGATTCTTGTATGCGTATGCATTGTTCACTGGCCATTTGGAAATTTTGGCAGTAGAACCCATCCGTGGTTGGTGCCAATGTGTATGTGCACACATACATACATACATACTACGTGCATGATTCTTGTCCATTTTGTTTGCAAGTGGAATTGTCTGTTGCCAGGACTCACGTGTTTATCAATGGTACCAACCATGTTTTATATAAGCCAGCAGGCCGCAAGTAGAACAGCAATTTTCTAAAAAGTTTATTGAATATTCTTGAGTGTATGTACACGTATGTAGCCTGTGCTAATTTTACAGAAATTTTTCGGCCCAAATATTACCGAAACTTAAATGAAGAATGTTTGGTCGGGTCGTCTTACTCCACTGCAGTGACAAATGGCCTTATATACGCATCCACAGGCATCCTACCAATAAACATTACATTTCTGAGTGTGTCCGTGCGTGCGTACCTACGAATGTGAGGAAAAGCTAAAAATTTTTTTTTTGACAAAAATTATCCTTGAACTAATAAAACGTCTCGTACACACAAACACACACACTCTTGCATACCTTATATATTATTGACTTTTTGTTTGTTTTTCCTCTCAGCTCGTTGGACGTCCAATCAGACCGTAAAAAACAAACATTGAAACTCGCTTTTAGTAAATAAGGAAAAATATTATAAAAACGAAATATTAAAATATAAAATACCTATAGAATTAAATATAAAGGAGGAATATCGAAATATAAGAAAGGCCAAGTCTTTGTCGTGCAATCTGGGCCACAAAAATAAATTGATACACCCTTAACACACACACCCAACATACATCCGTTGTAAATGTTTATGGAAAGTTTCGTTTAAAAAAGTGTAACGACGGATATAGGAACCAAACAACGGATATAAGAACCTAGGCCACAGTTAACAACAATAGCGGTAAGTTCCTGTTTTCGATCATAGTTCTTTGCTTCCCAGTTTTTTTTTTTTTTGAAAAAATAGAGCATATTCCACAATTGGGGGTTGACCTTTGGTATGCCATGGCACAGTCATATCTGTGTGAGGTTTGTTTTATTTATTTCTGTTTTATTTCTTTTGTGCCATTTGCTTACTTTTACTTAGACTTATTAACAATGTAGTAGAATACAGTACATACACAAATGGCCGAATAGTATTGATTTCTGTGTTTGCAAAGTCAATGCCGATAGAAAAGACAAAAACACACACACACAGACACACTAACACATGTCGCATATACACTTGCATATGTACATAGATACATACAAGGAACAAAACGGAGGGTGGGTGTTTCGATGGCAAACACAACAAGACATCGACTGCAGCAGCCCTTTTGTTTGTACAAATGTGTGATGTTGTTTTTGTATGAAAAAAAGAAATACCAGCCCGTGGCACATAGCCTATACAAACTTACACAATTGTATGCAATAACGAATGTATTTTTGAACTATTTTTTTTTTTTATATAAATGTTTGTCTCCTAACCTATCCAACAGCCACCCTCCAATGCGTGTTTCAGACAAATAGTGTGCTACTTATCTCCCTTAAAATGTATCTAAAATGTTCGAATTAAAGAAAACGAAAAAAAAAAAACAAGTTAAAAAAAAAACAGAGTACACGAAATAGGCCCTTATTAGGATTTAAGGTTAACAAGAATGTAGGATTAAAAAAAGAAATAAAACAAAAAGAAACATAAACACACACACAATAAACCAACCTTCGAAGCAAAAATGGATGCAGCTTTTTTTGGTGAATGGGGTGGACTGACTACCCTATATATATATTAATCATAAGATGACCATGACCATTACAACTGCTATTGGTGGCGCCCAACTATTTACTAAAAAAATTAAAATCAAACAAAAATTGTCAAATCGTTCCCTAGCCCATAATCAAAGAGTCAATTTCTCCGTCATGTCTAATAAACAACTCTATGTGAGAGAGACCGCTTTTTGACATATATTCTAAATCCTGGATCTAGCAATAAATAGCCGCCGATGCGACAATGATCGACGATCTCGCTTGGCATACATTACTTGATTCTTGAGGTCACACAGTCAATCTACACAAATGAAATCCTTATCTTTCATTTCAGAAGAACTTTAGATTGATTTTGTTTTGTTGTTTTGCATTTCGTTTTTAATATTTTTGTTTTGCTGTTTGTTTTCTTGTGGTGGGTGACAAATTCGCTCGTCTCACTAAATGATAGCTAAGTTGACTGTTGTTCTTAGTTCAAGATCTAGAGAGAACGGCAGACAGACAGAAAACCCGAACAACGATTAGCGTTGCAAATAAGAAAAGCAAATTTTGTATTTTGGACTCCAGTCTTTTACTGCGATAGCTGGAGAACTCATTCGCTTGGTACCTTCCTTGTCCGAGGGCTGCGGATGTACTTCGATATAAAAACAACAACAAATTCTATAAACAAAGAACCAGAATCTTGAAAGCGTTCATGCACAACATTTGTTATCATCATACATTGCGTGCAAGTGGTTCCAGACAGTCGATAACAAGTTTAATAAAATGTCTTGCTGTTGTTGTGGTATTTAAAATACATAAGGGTTCAATGAATTACCAATTTACCAAAGTGCTCATTAAAGTGTAGATATTAAAATACTCTTTTTTAAGTGACCCCAGTGACCATATGTTGTTGTTTCCACACACCTTAAAAAAACTTTAGCTGGGAATTAAAGAATATGGATTTTGAGGTGATTACTGTATTTTTTATAACCGGCATATGTTGATGTTCCCACAAAGCAAGAACTTAATTTTAAACTACCTGCCTTGTGGTTGACTTCAACCTTCCTTAGCAGCATTGAAAAAATATATATATTAAAAAAATAATATGGGAACCTATTTAAAACTAAATATTAACGATGTATATTATTGTCTACACGAGTCAAAAGAAAAATATTTTATTATTTACTTGTACAATGCATTTACGTCGAGTGCAATGAGTAGTGAATTATTCAAGCTATCACCTTGGTAAAGCGAATTTGGAGATATTTATCAAATGGACCAAGGTTAATTGTCAATTCGCCACAGAGATCCATACTGCGAATTTTGACTTAAATCATTTATCAGAATACAAGGAACAATCAGTCAACGATTGTTTTCTTAATAAAATACAGCAGACGCCCATACCTACCTATTAATGTTCAGTGGTTGCTTACGTTTGGACCAAAATTCTCATTTTAAAACCAAAAACCTTCGTATACCCTGTAGAGATGGAGAGAACACTGCATTCAAAATATTTTTTAACAGAGAATGTTAAGAGGGCGAAATATTTACTCAACGTTATTATAATACTCAAAAATGGCCATATAAGAGAAGAGATCACACACTTTATGTTTGGCACAGTGAATCAAATATAAATATTTTTAATAGGTGTTAGTATTCAATGTTTGAGTCGTTGGAAATAGTAGTTTTGGATCTTGTCACAGATCTCCATAATTTCCATTAGTACTTTTCTATAATCAAGGGCCCACAGAAATAGATCGGTGCCGAAATTCGAAATATTTTCTGTCTTACCCTTAGTTTAAAAAAAAATGAGAAAATTTCTAGCCGGACGACGAAAAACACTGTGCACAAATGTACAGAAATATTTTCGAAAAATAGGCTCAGACTTTAGTCGAAAAATGCGTGCCAATAAGAGAGGGTGTGAAGTTGTTGTTTCATAGATAAAAATAAATGTAATTATTGCGATAAATTCTTTTGTTTATATTTATTTAAATAATAAATATTATTGGTTCTGTACATTTTTATTTCAAGTAAGAATATATAAAATGACTGGTTAATTTTAGAACGGGAAAATGAAATTAGGAACACAATTTAGTTGTTATTATGCTTAGGTGTCTTAGATACTTCGATTTCTGAATCATATTCATTGAAAATGTTCCTTAGCGTATTGATAATTATCTGTAGAAAGCAATACAATTTGATTATAATGTGTTTTGTTTTGATATTTTGAAAACACGAATCTGTAGAATTGCTCAGTGGTACCTAAAAGAAGTAGTTATTTCAGATCATATTTGTATATTATGATAACGCCATAATCCTGAATTAATATTAATTAAAAACATAATTATTCATGAGTTCCCTTAAAATAAAATTCAGCAATAATTATTTTCTTTTTTTTATTTTCAGATTTGTCGTTTTAAGTAGAAAATAAATTTTTGAATTGCTAACTTGTGTTAATCATCTCAATTCAACAAACTCAGGAACTCAAAACACGTAAAACTGAACAAAAAACACTGCATCGATGCATCATTTTTAAGATTCACATTGTTAAGATAATCTAATTATATAATAATAATTACAACTACAATAAAATTGAAAAAAAAAACTAAACTAATAACAATAGCAAAAGGCTACAGCACGTCCTCCCCCATTCAACTTTAGTAGTAATAAAAAGGATAAGAACAACAACAACAATTACATATGTCGCCAGAAAAGTCAATTTGGGCCTATTTGAATCATTTCATAATGAGCAACATTTCATATTTGTGTAAGTAGTTGTAGATGTATTTAATGCAATAATGGAAATTCTTGATTTGCTTTGTTTCTGTCTTTCTTCCATTTTGCAATTACAGTTGATGAAATCGATGGTTATCTTTATTATTTTGGTGGCACAGCCGGTGTACTAACGCTAACTGGCATTGCCGCAGCCTCGGCTTATTATTTTACATCCCGGCCCATACCGGAAAAACCATTAGTGCCTCTGGAAAATCAATCGCCTATACTAGAAGTGAGTATATAATTATAATTTTTAAACAAATGGGCGAGTGATGTGTGCCATGTACATATGTATGTGTGTCCAAATAATAAGTGATAGTGTTTTGAATAAAACATATGTTTGGAAACAATCCAATATCTTAATTGCGGAAGTTGGTGAGAACTTTAAGCAGACATTTATCCGGATGTGTTCAATTTTTAGTAAATAGCTAATTAGGGCTGTTAATAACCGTACAAAGTTCACATAAATTATACATCGACGGTACAATAACAAAAACTAAACTATGCTACCATCCAGGACATACTTACAGCAGGAGGTGAATTCATTCCATAGTCATGCTTCACTGTTAATCATTTTCAAAAATTACATTAATATTGTGTCTTTTCTCTAACAAAAAAGGAAGAAAAATTTTAAAATTTATAATGAAAAAAATCCAAAAAGAATTTCGATTAATGATTTTTTTTTAAATACTGGAACAGATTTTTTTTGTATTTATTTATATATTAATTTGTAGTCGACCGAGAGAGGAAAATAATTTTTTTCAATATTCCGTCCAAAGAGACAAGACATACTGTACATACATACATCTTGTAGGAATTACTAATGAGCAAATAGTTGCATCAATCATGACACGCCTCAAATATTTATAATGTAATTTAGTATCTGATGTGAACGTTGTCCGTCCACTTGGCGGACTACTGAACTCATTTTCTATCTTTGTTTTTGTTGTTGTTATAGAAAGCAGTTCCTCAAATGTATACATATATATATACGAACTAATATACAGGGTGGACCATAATGTATAAATTTAAATTCTAAATTTATTTTTTTAATATTATTACTTGAAAATAATATCAGACTATAAAATGTTTTTAGGGTGATTTTTTTTGATTTTTAATTGGTATCATTTATGGTTAGGGAACACCCTGTATATTTTTTTATTTCAGTTTGTTAATGCGTACATAAGAATGCATAATATATTCTAAAGGCAATATTAATGCATTTTATTCTATATATATATATATATATATATATAGATCTCAATCCATAAAAAAATCTTCATAGAGGGGGTTTAACCGGAAAATTTTCTAATGTAAATGCCGTTTAAATATTAAATCCATATTTAATATAAATTTTACAAAATAAGGCAATGAACTCGATATTTTTAAAGGGCACCCTAATGTTTCATATACCACATTCCGTTAATTTTCAATCAAAATCATTTATCGATTATATAAATTTGTATTTCTATTTCGTTATGGACATATATTTTTTTTTAATAAAAAAATCAAGGGTTGAGAGCGTATAATTATCGTCAAATCGATGACGCTGGGATTGTTACAACCCCGCATTGCAATAGCCTCCCCCACCAAAATTTGCATGAATGAATTTTATGCAAGGCGGCTACCAACACTCCACTGCACATGCAAATTGAATTCAATATTCATGTTGCGGCATTCGCAACGCAACAACAAAGATAAAAACAACAACACTACAAGACTGAAGAATAAAAACCCCAATTCATCATGAAAATAATGTGTAAAATGTAGGAATTTCTCTTGAGTTGCCTGCTGTTGCCTAACAGACAGTTGAACGCCTCGCAAGTTTACGTTTCCCGGGGGGCTATTTTTATACGACATGTCTGCCATCCATTTCAAATAAAAATAAATAAAATAGAAACAAATAAAATACCCTATGATGTTCGAATACAACAATTAATTGTTGTGGTTTTTTTACATACAAAATAAATACACATTCGTACGAACTACAATGTGTGTGTATGTGTGTTTACATGTGCAACATTGTGGATTCAAACCACCGCGTTCAATATGCAATTAGAATTGTTTACTATTGTTGTTGCAGAGAAAAATCCCTTGATACTGTTTTGTTGTTGGTCATAAGTAGGGAAATTTTAGATTTAAATAAGATAGATCAATACATTACTAAAATGCATGTCCACCATTCTCGATTTCAATTTTGTACGAAAATAAACTATTTGGTAGGCTTGTAACTACATCCGTACATTTATTAGAGCACGTAAGAGTGGAGAAACCCACTTACCTAATTTGTTTCTTTTTTAAAAAATAACAAATATTTTTTCCTATTTGCACTCCTTAATAGATTTCAGCATTTAGCATTAAAAAACTATCACTTTCATCCCAGAATCAGCAACAAAATTATAACAAATTGATTTCATATATTTTAAAGATTAAAAATATGTCTCATACTTCATGAAATATCCAATCTACTGATCCCAATCGGCTTTCCTTTAACATTTGTTATTATAGAAAATACCAATTCTGACTCATGTGTTTTGTTGCATGATGTTAAGGTGTATAACAAGTCACTGTTTGCAACATGCCACTTAAGTCACATGCGAATGATTTATCTGCGTGAGTGTCTGTGTGTTGGTGCTAAGGATTTCCCCAGTTATTCGCATGTGATCTTCATGCAATTGTCTAATGTTCATTTGTGGTGGGACTCCCCCCCCTACACACACACACACACACTTACAACAAATGTTTTTATTTTCTCTCTTTCAATCGAATATCTCTTTCGTTTGGCACTCTTTTCCAACAATCTTCAGATATATGCAAAGACGATCATTTCGGTCTAAAAAGTAGATGAAGATGAACGGAGGTAAACAGATTGTCTGACTGGCAGACAAACGAAAGATATACCAAAAAATGTTCGCTCAGTACTATTTTGAACGTCTACCGTGTTGCGAAATTTCCGAATTGTGTTGAGACGCGCGTGAAAATCTTTTGTGGTTGGATATATACGGAAAATTTAAAAAAATCGAAAATTGCACTTTAGGAAGATTAACAAATAATACAAATAAATAATAAATTGGTGTGCTTCAAAAAAATTGTAAGATGTAAATTCCAAAATAAATCTGCCAACATAGTGGTCTTTGAGATGCAAATTAAAAAAAGTCCATTGTCTATGAAAGCATTTTCAGTAACACAAAAACAAAAATTAGGCGACTCTCAATACGTTTTTATATGGGGATGTGACAATTTTGCTTTGCCATCTCATTTATTACGTAAAACCCCGAAGAAGTGCAACCAAAACCAACAAAGCAAGAAATGACCACCATAAATAACGTAATTGATTGTGGTTTCTGCTTTTGGCCACTATTTGTTTCGAAATCTCTGCCAAACAACCTGACAATTTGTCGCCTAAATATAAAACAACCAATAAAAATGTCTATAAACAATTTTTCGACAACCAAAAAAAGAAACATTTTTAATAAAATTAGCAATTGCATATTTAATGTTCTGTGGGTTCTCCATAACAATTCTATTTGTGTCTAGAAAAAAAAGTGAGAGAAATTTTAATATTTCCCTGACAAAAAAAAAAAAATACCACAAAACACCAGCAATGCCTTGTTTTCTTTCTATACGATACACTTTTTTATTCTAATACCGTTTTGATATATGAATGAATAAATTTAAATTGTCTGCCATTAAGAAGAAAAAAGTGAAAATAAAAGAAAAAAATAACAAACATTTTTTTTTTTTGAAAAAATCTCCCCTCCCTATTGGCCGGTTGCGAATAAGTTTCTTCTTGATTTCATTATCTTACGAATGACTCAGTTATGAATTGAAATAAAATTTAAAAATTCGCTCTAGTTTAGTTGCTGTTGCGTTAGTGTTTCTGTTTGTTATTTTATCTCTATATATATGAAAATTGTCAAAAGTAGAGGGGAGAATGCCAAACACTTATTTTTGTTTAGTAGTTTCCGTTCTTTTTTTATTTTTAAAACACAAATATTTTTTCTTTCGATGTTAATATCAATTTGTTTTAAATTCAGGTTAGTGGTTACATTAGTCTTTATTTGTGGCATTTAGATTTTTGTTTTTGATTATTATTCCGGTAACTGAAATTTAAAATTATTATCTGGTTATCTCCTGCTCGAAATAAGTTGTACTCGAAATAAGTTGTAAAAATTTATGAAAATGTTTCAAGGAAAGTGAAAATGTTCGGGTTTTTATTTATTATTAATTTATTTAAAAAATTAAATATTTAAGCCTATGTGTGTGGTTTTTTTACTTTATTTTACAAAAATCAATTTCCCGCCGATTTTTGTGGCATTTCTCTCAGTAATGGTTTGATGTTTTCAAAATCGAATTTCGTCATGGCTAATCCTCAAACTTAAATTAATGAAGATACATTAGGTATATGAAGATCTATTGAACGTTTCCATAATAGTGGAAATTCTGAAATTACTTATTACAGGGGGCTTTAAATAATTTTCCAAAATTATTTGTTTGTAAAGTTAGGTTTTCCTGATCAATTCGATAGATATAAACAAAAATGGTAATTAAAACCTAAAAAAATATTTATAAATTATTATAAATTTATATTAATGACAGGAAATTCTAATACACATTTTTCCGCTCTACAACACTTTAGGGTCATTGTAATTATATACATTTTTTTAGACAATTACATGGTTCACTGGGAATATTTATAATTGCAGAATTATTTTGAGATGTTTCGATTTTTTGAGATAAAAAATTAATTGGAAATAGTCAAGGGAAAGTTGATTAAATGCCATTGACTTAGATTTATGAAATTGGTCAATTTTTATAAAAGTTTTACATTTTTAGACTAAAGAAGTCTAGTCCAAAGATTATTATCATTTTTCGTATGTTGCTTTATGGCATTAGGTACATTTGACCAGTTCCACACTATAGTTAGTTCCCCACCACGGTATTTTTTTAAATTTACTCCAATCTGGATTGTGTGAAAATGTAATTAGTCGCAAATTAGTTTCCCAAAATGAACATTTTTATAAAATAACTTATAATTACATATTTCTCTCATAACTAAAGATTATGAAAAATCGATCCTTTCAGATTTATCTATTTCGATTTTCTATTTTTTGGACCGAATATTTAGATTAGAACGACAATTTTATAGTCAAATATAAAAGGTTCATCAATTACTCTGGGGTCTGACAAAATGTACCATATTCTTGATGCATATTTGTTCATTCCACCTATTTCTAAATGTTTCTTTTTTTGTTCTAATTGGAAAATCAATTACTTAATTAGTATACTGACACCTCATATGAATTAACAAAATAACATTTCCCCAGAGCTTTGAAAAATAAATTCAAATTTATATGATGAAACATAAAAAGACGAAATGGACATAATTTGCTCTCGAACACTTGTTATTATCGTATGACGATTGATTCGAGCCACAAATAGACTAATGTGAAATGAAACAGACTTTCTAAATCATATGACAAATGAGCTCATCGTTTTCCTACCTATCTAGGTATGTTTGATTGTTCAATCGCAAAGTGAATGAACAATTCACTTCTCATCATCATGCGATAAACAAGTAATTCACGTCCTTTTTGTCCACTTTTTTGCTCTTATTTTCTTTTCATTTCTTGTTGGTTCTTTTTGTCGAATTTTATTTTACACCAACATCTTTGAACTTTAACAAGGCCTTTGCTAACTAAATTTATATTACGGTTGGTATTTGAGACAGGCTAACATGTTCGTCATACAAAATTGTGTAAAATGAGAGAAAAAAACTATAAACTTAAAGGGGGCACGTCCCAGACGGTTGCGTTAACTACACACGCGACCTTGAATTTACTAGTCCCTCACTAAAGTGATAAAAATTATAGGAAAACAGAACGGAATGGAAAACTGTTGTTGTCACCCGAGCATAAAAATATACATGAACATACTTCGGCAATACGACTTTTCAAACACCCTATACTCTACTTTAAATGAGATAGTATGGACAACCACCTGATTTGAGGTCAATAACATTCTCGGCGTATACATATTGTCGTAATGCATACGCCACCTCAAAACATTGTGCTTCCATTCCCCAGAGTTAAAGATGTAATTCGACATTTTCTTCGGATGTGGCAAATGCTTTGATGAAATTAATATACCTTCTCATTTATGGACGAACACGAAGGCTGATGATCGAAATAACATAATTTCTTAAATATTTAGAGACGTGTGTGTCTGTGTATGTATGACGTCAAAGTTAAACAACACATGCATATACATATACATATTAATTTTTGGCATTTTTTTGCCACAATAAAAAGTCATAAGATTTTCAAGAAGAAAAACATTTCGCTATCGTTTTGTGATCCAATCAACAGAGTATCCAAAGAGTTCTTCGTCTGCCATTAGTAGGTGTTTGGTCTTTAGACGATATATATTTGTACATACACACATACATGAATCTATCGGTATCTATAGATATCCCTTAATCTCCACATTAACACCCATACATACGTAAATATCTTGTAGATTGTATCTAGAATAAACAGAAATAATGTTCTATTGCACATTGCGTTGAATGATATATCCCCCCAGGGAGTTGGTTAATCGATGTTGTTGGTTTGGTTGCTTAGTTTGTTAATCGGTTAGCCAAATAAATTCAAAGCATCTCACCGCCTGCACCACGCCATACCTCGAAATAATCTTAAATAAGCAATTTATTTTGGTTAATTTACAAAAGAACAACAATTTTATTGAAGAACCTAACAAATTAGCAACATGTGCTGGGAATAGAGTAAAAGATTGCCGGCAATCCTAATGTGAGACAGAGAGAAAGCGAAAGAGCGCGCGCGTCCTGGAAACTAATAGTGTGAAAAGAAAGCCTCAAAAAAGACAACAACATTCAATCTCAAAGAAAACAAAAAAAAGCAACATAATTCATTTAAATAAATATTCTATTAAAATAAATTGAAAACAATTATTAACACTTGCTTAAGCGGGGAAAGCAGTGGTGTGTTGTATGTGGGCTAGTAGTTGATATTTGCAAGTGTTCCATACAGAGTAGTTTCGAAAAAAATACCCCTTCAAGATGTCCTGCTGTGGCCAAATCACCACCATTCGTCCGCCCATCGACATGGCCAGTCAGAGTGATATTCTCAAGGTAATTAAAACATGTTTATAATTTGCAATGGGTTTATTGCCAAGAATACAACCTGCTCGGTATGTGAGTAGCATTAAAACAGAATTTTATTGCTAAATATGCTCTCCACAAACCGCAGAGTATTTGTTTAACATTTTAAAAGCAACAACAATTGTTAACCACAACTCCAGACTAATGCCGAGTTTTCTTCTTCTTTTCATGGTTTTTTTTTCATTGTTTTGTGGCATATTTCCATTGTTTGATTTTGATTTTATGTTTTAGATAAAATATGATCCCCGTCTAGACATTAACCGAAGGGTAGGGTAGAAAAAAAAAACATTGGAAATACATAAAGTTTCCCCATTCCCCCTGGCACAAATCAATGTTATGTGGCATGCATGTTTCGTTCAATATGTGGATAAATCAGCAGGTGTTAGGGGGCTATAACGGAAGTGGTATTTTATGAAGATGTATGAGCAAAATTACATTTTAAAGCGTATTTAAAAATTTGGCGTTTGAAAATTCTATTCAATTTTATAAAAATAATATCTGCTGTATAAGTGTAGGATAATAACTATTGAAAAATATGTTTACTCAATCAGAATTTTTAAAAAATTTATTTAATTCGATTAATAAATCATATAAATTTGTCAGTGAGTATTGTTCTTAATTTTGTTGTGGATTGTAAAACTATATTAAGGGCCCATTTGTCACTATATATAGGATACAAGAGACAATTTTTGTAGGCTAAAATGTTTCAATGAAGTTATCGTTATTGTGTGTAGAATAAATACTATTAGTATAAAAAATACCAATGTGCGTATACGTATTGATGTGAAGTATACGCAATCCGGAATACTAATTTAATGAATATCTACATTTTACACAATAAACCTTGTGTCCATGTAAATGTCTAGTTTTCAATTTAATTTCAAATAATAACACACCGACATCTCTGAATTGTGTTATGACATTCTGATATTCGCGGAAGATAGAGCAAAGTCCACTTGCGCTAACTAGCAATCGGGGATGTTTCAACACAAGTCATGTGGCCAATATCGCATTTGGAAAGGAACATTTAGACAATACACAGCAACAAAATAAAACACTTTGAAGTGTTTGTTGCAAATGCCTATTAACGAAAAAAGATGTCGGCGGTTGCGTTTTAATAACAATTATTTACATTACAAAATTGGTTTTTTGTGTCAGAAGAGGAATTAATGGCGGCCTTTTTCTTTCGTTTGAATTAACATTGAGCAACACATTATAGATTTCGGATGACGTCAAAATATGTTTTGTTTTTTGTATATTTTTCTTTTGTAAAATGTAATATACAAAACCGATAGGGGCCAATCGTTCTATATAATTTTCCAATGAAATCCAAAAATATGTCATATCCTCATCTTGTTAACAAATGGAAAAACTACTAACAGTTTTTTTTTTAAATGGGAAAAAGAAAAAACATTTAGTTTTCTTTACCGATTCTATTGTTCTGTTTGTTTTTTTAATTTTAATAAATTTATCTACCACTTCCCGGATACCCTCCTTTTACACAAGCTAGCATTTCAAATCATCATTAGTTGTGCTCGAAGAATTCGTTACGTTTTTCAACGGAAAACGTAAACAAAACGCCTTTAGAAAACACACAACATAAACGGCATGTATTACTTGTTATTGTCAATCATTTGAAATCGATGATTTAAGACCACCACCTGTCCCCCATCCAAACCCTCCCCTGCCTGAAAGGTGCCATTGATCGATCATATTCATGATGGTGATGATGAATTCATTCACTTTGACAGGTATAAACATTATTTGCATACCACCGGTCTGCATTCCATATTACGAATACCCACAAACACACTCACACAACTGCACATACACAGATGAAACAGTTGTTCTTTGAAAATCGAGCAGGTTTTTGTTCCCCTTCAATTTGGCGCCGAACAGTGGGGCGACCATTTGTGGTATTACACCACCCCAACCCACCCAACAATTTTAAAAAGGAAAGAAAAATAGACGATCTTTTTGATCATCTGGCATTCGTGTCCATCAACACTTGTTGAATATTAACATAATGCCGTTAAATGGAATGAATTTTTCAACACTGACCGCATTAAAATTTATTTTAAAAGCGTTTTAGACTTAGAAATGCTAAGTGCTTGGTAGCAACTTTAGAGAGAAGAATTTGAACGTCACTCTTGGCAGTAGCATCATTTATCTAAATTTGGTCCACCACAGCTACTGCCATGGCTATAGCTGACTGGGGCTGTGCGCAAGAGAAATTGGACTGTCGAAGCCACGTCATGTCGTTGTCTATCGTCGTCGACGCCGTCAACAGGCTAATAACAATAAAACTGCCAACAAAAGTCAATAAAAGTATTGATTGCTAATTGAAGCTCCGATAGAACGATCAGTCGGACAGACGTATGGAAAATCGATTTCATGCATTTGACGTTGACGTGACTGGTCGTAAATTTTCGCTTGGTTTAGATTTTGGGTCGATAAATGTCTTTACACGAAGGATTTATGCCTTTTGGCATGTGTGTGCCGATTGGGAATGGCCTTCGCGAAATGTCAATTTCCCTATGGCTTTAGATTTACGTCTAACAAACAATAACAACACACACACTCACACACATACAATTTATCAATTTATGCACCACTCATTACTCATCATTGTCTTGTTCTTGCATCTTTTTTCTCTTCTTTTTTCTTGTTGTCGTTGTTCGAATTCCATTCTGCTTGCAGGGTCCGGAACAAATTCACGTATCAAAGTTCTACAAAGAATCCAAAAATGGCAAATTCGTTTCGTACATCACAGAGAATGTTCGGACACTGTATCAGACATTTCGTGAAGGTGCCTATGCCTCCAATAATGGACCCTGTCTGGGATGGCGTGAAACTCTGACATCCCCATATCAGGTAAGGAGATACACGTTTTCCTATTGCATCCCCGATTAGCTAAAATTTCATTTTCATTTTCTTGCAGTGGATCAACTATGACGAAGCATTACTGCGTGCCAAAAACTTCGGCTCGGGCATGCTAGCCTTGGGCGTACGTCCCAAACAATTGGTGGGTATCTATTCACAAAATCGTCCCGAATGGATTCTGTATGAGCAGGGCTGTTATTGCTATTCGCTGGTGGTGGTACCGCTCTATGACACCCTAGGACCAGATGCCTGTGCTTTTATTATACGTCAGACTGAAATGTCAATTGTGGTCGTGGAGGACGATGCCAAGGCATCGATGCTTTTGGACAAAGCACCGCGGTCGCTGAAAATTCTTGTTGCTATAAAGCCGGTCAGGGCAGCCACATTGGAAAATGCTCGCAATCGGGGCATACAAATCTTTTCGTTCATCGATGTCGAGAAGTTGGGTGCCAAAAGTAATCATCCCGAAGTACCGCCTACCTCAGAAGATTTGTGTACAGTTTGTTATACCTCGGGTACCACTGGCAATCCCAAGGGTGTTATGCTGACACACGGCAATGTTGTCGCTGGAGTCTGCGCTGTAATACTGCAGTTGGGTGATCACCGCATCCGTGCTGGTGATGTTATGATATCGTTCCTGCCATTGGCTCACATGTTCGAGCGCTGCTGCGAGAATGGCATGTACTATGTGGGAGGCTGTGTTGGCTTCTATTCGGGCGACATCAAAGAACTGAACAATGATTTGAAGATGCTGAAGCCAACTGTGATGCCGGCCGTGCCTCGTCTACTAAATCGTGTCTATGATAAAATTCAAAATGATATCGCTGCCTCGTCCATAAAGAGAGCCTTATTTAATATGGCTTTGAAAGCCAAAGAGAAGGAAATATCCCGAGGTATATTGAGACGCAATGGCTGCTGGGATAAGCTGGTATTTAAAAAAGTGCATCAAGGTAGGTCGGCAGCTAACGTGGATACATTCTGCATAGAAATTGTTAAAATTGTTTTTTTATGTCATTACAGCTTTTGGTGGAAATCTTCGTTTGATGGTGGTTGGATCGGCTCCCTTGGCTGGTAATGTTTTGACTTTTATGCGCTGTGCTTTGGGTTGTTTGGTGGTCGAGGGCTATGGTCAAACCGAATGTACCGGTGCCATAACTTTAACTGTTCAGGGCGACTATGTACCCAATCATGTGGGACCACCAGTATCCTGCAATGCCATTAAGGTAATCGAAATGGGATCTACATCTAAAATACAACAATTTTTTAAAAAAAATTTATTACCATTTTCAGTTGGTGGATGTACCGGAAATGGAATACTATGCCAATCAAAACACCGGCGAAGTTTGTGTTCGAGGTTCAAATGTGTTCCACGGGTATGTGGGAGAGGGAGTTTCAAACTCTCCTATCGAATTATTATTAAAATTAATATTGTACTTTCTTTGGATTCTAATTAAAATTGTCTTTTATAATTCCAGTTACTACAAAGATCCTGAGAAAACTGCCGAAGCCATTGACCCTGAGGGTTGGCACCACACTGGCGATGTTGGTATGTGGCTACCGAATGGCACTTTGCGTATTATCGATCGTCGTAAGCATATCTTCAAGCTGAGCCAGGGTGAATATATCGTACCCGAGAAAATTGAGAACATTTATACCTTAAGTCAGTACGTAAATCAAGTATTTGTTTATGGTGAAAGTCTGAAGGTGGGTAGAACCGAGGCAATGCTATGCTGAACACTTTCATTGAACATTTGTATGCTTTAAATTACAGAGTTGTATTGTTGCTGTTGTTGTACCCGACGTTGAAGTTTTAAAGCAGTGGGCAATGGAAAATGGTGTACGTGGTACCCTATCGGTTCTGTGTAATAATCCTCAAGTTAAGGAACTCATTATGACCGATATGCTGAAGTGGGGCAAACAGAGTGGTTTAAAATCATTTGAACAGGTGAGTAACACCCTAAAGAGCTTGGCACTCTAATATAGAAATGAAGAAATGTTTTTTAAACTACCTATCACTATATTTATAATGTTTCCATGAATATTAACTTTGCGTTTTATTTTTGTATTTTAGGTTAAAGACATTTATCTACATCCAGATCCATTTTCGGTGCAAAATGGTCTACTGACACCTACCTTCAAGTCAAAACGGCCACAATTAAAGAGTTACTTTAAACCCCAGTTGGAGGATATGTATAAGCATCTGGCCTAAGGCTGCCAAACTTATTTAAACTATAACCAAAAAACAAAAACAATAATTACAAGTAATTTTTAATAATAATCACATGAATTCAAAAAAAGTAAACTATTTTTATGACCTATCAAAGAAACCAAAAATCAACCAGAAAACAGGCTGCAAAACTCAATTTTTAGAAATTCTCAATAACTCCTTTGATTTTTCCTTTCTTTTCGAAAATTAAAAAAAAAAATAATAAATATAAAAACGATAAGACTATTTAACTACAACAACAACATATTAAATAGAATTAAAGAGAAACAGTAACAGAGTCATAGAGCATTATATGAAAAATAAATTAGTACCTCTTTTAACACTTAATAGAAGGAAGATATGTAAAAAAAGACAAACAGAGACGTCTTATAAAAGCAAATAAACACACACAGATACACACACACACATTTATATCATAAAAACAAACGAAAGCAATAATTTCAAGAAACGAAAATACGATTTTATCACACGTAACAAAAATCCAAAACTTGATTACTTTTCAGTTCTGTTTTTTTTCTTTACATTTCGACTCAAATCTTAGAAATCAAGAAAAATAGAAAAATAATCAAATAAATTCACCTTTTTGTAGAAATTTGTAGGAATTATCAAAACCAAATTAATAATTAACATAAATACCAAAACAGTGGACAGACCGCTATGCCATGCGGCTTCAATTACAGGTAGATGGACCTTTTTTCTTTCCTGAAACATTGCGTAAGATACATATATGGATAGTTTAAAAAACTGATAGCAGGTTCTTTATATTGAAAGCATTTTGTGTTTTGTTTTTAACAAAAGTTTGGCAAACTAGACATTTAACCATTCGATCGGCGGTAACACTTTTGGGCGCCATTTTGTGGCCACCAGGGGTATGTCGCTAGGTCGAAAGGTAGATGAAAAAAAAAACATTGGATATCCTCAAACCAAAGATTTTTAACATAATTTTAAAAGAATTATTTAAACAAAACGTAGAAACAAAGTTGGTTAGTGTAATTTTTAATATTTTTTTTTCGCTGTGGCACATTGTCGTTGTATTTTATTTAAAAGTGCGAGGGATTGTGGGTGACAGACATGCACCCTCGATCATTGTTATCGTATTTATTATATGATTTTTTATACACAAAACGAAATTAGTTAAAATTTTATCATTTAGTTCTAAAATAATTCAAATATGTTGTTAATATCGTGATTTGTTTTTCTTTTATTTTGTTTGGTTCCAGAATTTATTTTTTTATTTTAGATAAATGTATGTATATATAAAATTATTTATATAAATAAATCAATGTGTTTCATTACTATATATTTTGGTATTTTATTTTTTTATTTTGGTTTCTTTTCATTTTCAAAATTTTTTTAAAAAAACGTCCAGTTTCTAGTTAGAACGGTAAGAAAAAATCTAAAAGAATATCAAAAGGAAGAAAAGAAAAAAAAAAAAACAAACAAATCAATCAATCGGGTCGTCATAATAGCCATACATCATCAACTTAATACATATAATTATAAAGCTTTATTAGAACATAAAAAAGGGGCAAAAACAAAACTCAATTATCTTCATCTCAAGAGATGAAAGAAAAAACAGAAAAACAGAAAAAAGAGAATATTTACTTTATTTCAAGTTAATTTCAATAGGAATCAAATACATTTAATGCAAACAAATAAAATGTCCTAAATTCAATAATATTAATACTGAACAGTTTTAAATGAACACTAATAATACACCACTGTAATATTGAATAACAACAAATAACAATAAATAAAAATATCAAATACACTATTTGGTTTCGAAACTTGATGGCGAAGGTAAGAGCATAGGTAAGTAAGAGGGATCGAATTTGGACGGTTGTGTTAAAATAAGTTTAAAGGACACTACTTTGCTTTGGCACATTTCGTATATTAATTTGTACTTTACTTTTTACGATAGCTCCGATTCGATCTGCATAATATTAGGGTGCCCCATAAGTTTCTTCTGCGCCACGCTATGAATGAGTCTGACGGGCCATGTATAGGTATACACATGCAGGGTTATCTCATGGCCGTTTATGGCATCGGTTTCAGTCGTTCCAGAGCTCTTTCAAGACTGTGCTCACTGAAAATCCGTCATAGATAGTGGATGGCACTACCATTGCCAATACAACGGTACATAGTCATTTGATCAAGATGGGATATGCAAATTGGTATGAAAGGGGGAGAAACTTATGGGACAACCTAATATTTGTCTGTTTGGTTTAGCTTGACATGAAATTGGTACATATCAGTTTATAGCACTTGGCTACAATCAAATAGTTAAAACTGAGTTCAAAGACCTGAAATAATAAAGACTAGACAAAATGCATTTTCCAGAAAAATTTCAATTTTCTATATATATGGTGTTGAAGTCGACTGGAAAAAAATGCAGATTTTGAAAGCTCTCTCAGAAAAAATATGGCTCCCAACATTGAGTGTAATGTTATAGATTATCTCAAAAAATGCTTGCCATTTTTTCAAAAATAAAAAGCTTAATTTGAATTTGTCAAAATATAGACATAGTAGATGAATTGTTTTTACAACAGCGTTTGTTTATTAAATACTGCTCAAGCGGACAATTGGAGCCTAGGAACGACGATACGCCCAAATCGCATATGATGGCAAAAATATGCACTAGGCGGAAATGAGAAATGATATACCATCAGAATGGTATCGTGTTCATGTCCATTTTTATTCACTTTACATATGTTCTTATTATCAATAAAATTTTGGATGAATTAATAGAAAGGCATTGATTTAAAGTTTTCAGTTGGTATTAAAGAAATTGTTACCGTAGACAAATACATTTAAAACTTTTCAATATTATAAAGAAAAAAGTTTAAAAAGTCGTTATATTCGGCCGGGCCGAACTATGAGGTGGATATTCAAAATGCCTGAATCCGATAGAATCTTTTAGGAGAAAACGTAATACCAAATTACAACATATTCCGATGAAAAACATGCCAAAACCAGTAAGGAAAGTTCAAAAATCGGACGGGCCCGACTATATGATACCCTTCACCACTTTGGCTACATGCAATACATGTTAACATCTACAATATCCTGTAGATAGAAAGGTCATAAAATCTTTGGAGGACCATTGAGATGAAATCGGGCGAAATTAAATGTTCTATCTAGATAGACATTTCAACCAATTGAAAAAACCCCATACACACCATTCTGAAATCAATGAATAATTGCATGTCAAACGGACAGACTTGGATTCTTTGGTGTACCATTTGTATGAAATCGAGTCAAATTGTGTATGGGAGCTGTATATAAACACATGGACCTAATTGAGTAACCGTTGCGTACATAATTTGTTTTTTGTAATCACTACATTCAATTTAATACCTCGGCCAAATTTTGTGTAACTACCATTTACATAAAATCGAACCACAGTGTGGGGAGGGGTGTAAATACCGAATATTGGGGGTACCGCTATATGGTGGCTATCCCGAAACTTGGATCAATATTAATCATTTTTGTTACGGAGGTTCGCTATACATTAGGAAACAAAAACGCCAAATTACAGCCAAGTTATTTCGAGGTATAGCAAACAACATGACAATTTTACACAAAGATACGTTTCCACGACAGAGGGTTTACGTTTCCACGGCGATCTGAAACGACATTACATCCTTCTTGATAAGAAAATAAAAACTAAATTTGATTTTAGAGATCAATTATAATGTAGCATTTTGGTCATTGTGAGTTTGTCTTATAAAAAATACGTAAACATATTATTATTATTATAAATTTAAATATTATATTTTTTAGAAATCCATATACCACATAATGATGAAATTTATGGAATTTTGACCCAATTTAACACAACTAAAGATATTTCAAGGACTTCAACAAAAAGTTTAATTTTATTGTTTACGTTTAAAAAAAAAATAATTCGGGAAGAAAACATCAGATTTGATTCACAACATTCTCAGCTTTTATAAATCATAAATCTCACATTTAATGTCTGGATTTAGTACAAATATTGCAAATCGCCACATATAGTTCAACTTATCGAGAAGTATTAGCTGACTTTTCGGATTGGTAGTGATTCTGATGATAATTTAAACAAATTGGTAATGCCTAGCTGGAATAATGAGATTTGCTTCATTGACAGTCTCAGCGGAAGACATGTGCACTGTAAAGATATTTTCCACGGCTAATTTTAATTAATAATAGTTCCTAGTAACAACCAAAGAAAGTCCAACCGCAGCATCGAGCTCCTGTGAAAGCTCAATTGATTCGGATACGTTTTTCTAAATTTCCACATATTTCGTCTTAGCGTGGTGGAGGAGTGTGTCACAATGTATCTCAAAGAATTGCACTGTTATGCCTTCCTTCTTTATCTGATTCGTTGTTATCTTCGGCTTTAACAACGTCGAACATGACAATTTGAAATAAACAAAATTGTAAATGAGTATGATTTACACAATAAATAATTTGTTGTTTGTGTGTGTGTTTGTTTTCAAACAAAATACTGCCCAACTTTGCTATGACAGTCTCTTTGAAATTGTCTTTTTGTCAAAATTCCAGTGCATTTCAGAGAATATAAAAATCATTTCACTCAAAAGTTAACATTATGTTATGTCACCATATCGTGACATAACATAATGTTATACCACACCGACATCTATATTTCATTCGTGACTATAAAATGTCCTATCTTTATACTTTTATGTCTTTGTAAAAAAACTGAGTTATTTATTAACAGAGTTGTATTTCTTCTTTATGTTAGCAAAGACACAAACCAAAAAAGTTATCTATACAAAGACATAAAAGTATAAAGATAGGACATTTTATAGTCACGAATGAAATATAGATGTCGGTGTGGTATAACATTATGTTATGTCACGATATGGTGACATAACATAATGTTAACTCTTGAGTGAAATGCACTGGAATTTTGACAAAAAGACAATTTCTAAGAGATTGTCATAGCAAAGTTTAGCAGTATTTTGTTAAAAAAAAACACACACACACAAACAACCAATTATTTATTATGTAAATCATACTCATTTGCAAGTTTGTTTATTTCAAATTGTCATGTTCGACGTTGTTAAAGCCAAAGATAACAACGAATCAGATAAAGAAGGAAGGCATAACAGTGCAATTCTTTGAGATACATTGTGACACACTCCTCCACCACGCTAAGACGAAATATGTGGAAATTTAGAAAAACGTATCCGAATCAATTGAGCTTTCACAGGAGCTCGATGCTGCGGTTGGACTTTCTTTGGTTGTTACTAGGAACTATTATTAATTAAAATTAGCCGTGGAAAATATCTTTACAGTGCACATGTCTTCCGCTGAGACTGTCAATGAAGCAAATCTCATTATTCCAGCTAGGCATTACCAATTTGTTTAAATTATCATCAGAATCACTACCAATCCGAAAAGTCAGCTAATACTTCTCGATAAGTTGAACTATATGTGGCGATTTGCAATATTTGTACTAAATCCAGACATTAAATGTGAGATTTATGATTTATAAAAGCTGAGAATGTTGTGAATCAAATCTGATGTTTTCTTCCCGAATTATTATTTTTTTTTTAAACGTAAACAATAAAATTAAACTTTTTATTGAAGTCCTTGAAATATCTTTAGTTGTGTTAAATTGGGTCAAAATTCCATAAATTTCATCATTATGTGGTGTATGGATTTCTAAAAAATATAATATTTAAATTTATAATAATAATAATATGTTTACGTATTTTTTATAAGACAAACTCACAATGACCAAAATGCTACATTATAATTGATCTCTAAAATCAAATTTAGTTTTTATTTTCTTATCAAGAAGGATGTAATGTCGTTTCAGATCGCCGTGGAAACGTAAACCCTCTGTCGTGGAAACGTATCTTTGTGTAAAATTGTCATGTTGTTTGCTATACCTCGAAATAACTTGGCTGTAATTTGGCGTTTTTGTTTTCTAATGTATAGCGAACCTCCGTAACAAAAATGATTAATATTGATCCAAGTTTCGGGATAGCCACCATATAGCGGTACCCCCAATATTCGGTATTTACACCCCTCCCCACACTGTGGTTCGATTTTATGTAAATGGTAGTTACACGAAATTTGGCCGAGGGTATTAAATTGAATGTAGTGATTACAAAAAACAAATTATGTACGCAACGGTTACTCAATTAGGTCCATGTGTTTATATACAGCTCCCATACACAATTTGACTCGATTTCATACAAATGGTACACCAAAGAATCCAAGTCTGTCCGTTTGACATGCAATTATTCATTGATTTCAGAATGGTGTGTATGGGGTTTTTTCAATTGGTTGAAATGTCTATCTAGATAGAACATTTAATTTCGCCCGATTTCATCTCAATGGTCCTCCAAAGATTTTATGACCTTTCTATCTACAGGATATTGTAGATGTTAACATGTATTGCATGTAGCCAAAGTGGTGAAGGGTATCATATAGTCGGGCCCGTCCGATTTTTGAACTTTCCTTACTGGTTTTGGCATGTTTTTCATCGGAATATGTTGTAATTTGGTATTACGTTTTCTCCTAAAAGATTCTATCGGATTCAGGCATTTTGAATATCCACCTCATAGTTCGGCCCGGCCGAATATAACGACTTTTTAAACTTTTTTCTTTATAATATTGAAAAGTTTTAAATGTATTTGTCTACGGTAACAATTTCTTTAATACCAACTGAAAACTTTAAATCAATGCCTTTCTATTAATTCATCCAAAATTTTATTGATAATAAGAACATATGTAAAGTGAATAAAAATGGACATGAACACGATACCATTCTGATGGTATATCATTTCTCATTTCCGCCTAGTGCATATTTTTGCCATCATATGCGATTTGGGCGTATCGTCGTTCCTAGGCTCCAATTGTCCGCTTGAGCAGTATTTAATAAACAAACGCTGTTGTTTGACAAATTCAAATTAAGCTTTTTATTTTTGAAAAAATGGCAAGCATTTTTTGAGATAATCTATAACATTACACTCAATGTTGGGAGCCATATTTTTTCTGAGAGAGCTTTCAAAATCTGCATTTTTTTCCAGTCGACTTCAACACCATATATATAGAAAATTGAAATTTTTCTGGAAAATGCATTTTGTCTAGTCTTTATTATTTCAGGTCTTTGCTGTTAATATTGCCAGCTTAGCTTGTTTCAAATCTATTTTATAGGAATTCTATTTCGAGAAAGATATTTCTATAAAACCGAATTATAGTTACAGTTATTTTATATTTGCTATTTTATTATACTACATTAAATATATTTAAAAAACAAATGAATATGTAGTGAAATTATTACTTTTTTTTTTCTTGAAAATTTGAATAAAATAAATATTATTGTTAACAAGGATACCCAGGAAACAGTGGCAACATCATCCTTCCGTTTCATTTGAATTGTGACCTGCGCACTTTTAGCGCCCAACTAAATCGGGAAATCGAAAATTTTTTCGCTCTTACACTCCTTCACTGTCTAATGTCTAACGTTAATTCTATACAAACAATTTCATTCATCATTTGTACGCAGGACTCGTCACTCGCATTGGGAACGGTTTTCGAATTTTTTTCATTACAGCTCACAGAAAGGAAAGAAACGGGAGTGTTGAGAGTGTGTTCGTTCGTTCGATTTTGATAAAGAAGAAAAAAGGAATTTTATTCATTTTATACATCCCGAGCAGAAGCATTTGATGAAAAAATAAAAACCAATTTCAAAACATTTTCAAAACTAAGTATTATTGAAAGCCTGTGATTTGTGTGTGTGTGTGTGTTAGTTTTTTTGGAAGTCGAAGGCCCAAAGATGACTGATTTACTGAAATTTCTAAGTAAAGCCAATTGGAATTCAGTGCGCTATGATTTTCTAATAATCACGAGTATACTTTTCTCGTTAATGGGTAAGTAAAGAAAAGTGTTGCATCTGGTGTCCCAATCCCCCTACTGCCAGTCCTTTGGGGGGTCCTTACAACGTCATGGACTTATTTTTTCACAACTCCACTCGTTTTGACCAAACAGCCAGATGGGGGTAGTGATGTCGTCAAGGTGTATGGATGGGAGGGTGGTGGTATTAGTCAAAGACGTTAAACGTAATAAAATAGCCAAAAAAACAAGAAAACGAAAGTAACTCTAGAGAGGGATGAAAGTGGGACAGCATATTTTTCTTATATGAAAACTGGCATGTCAAGGGAGTGAGGGGAGCGGAGTGGAATGAAGGTTGGCGTATGTTCGTTCGCCTGCCGTGTATACAACGTGTAGAATTATCGATTTTCTATTTGGTCACATATTAATATTTTACAATCGACAAAAATGGACAATCATCTATAAATGAAACACTTTGGGTTGGGTTGGAGGACTGGCGTGTACTAAAAATAGGTCTGTGGGACAACGAACTTCTGGCTTATCACATGCCAATGAGACTAACTGAGTGTTGAACAGCTTTGCTCTTGAATTGTATTACAGATAAGAATAAGGAGTGATGATTGAAATGCAAAATAATCCATCCATGTTCCCCTTCTGTTTTCTTTCTTTTCGATCTCAGTTACATATTGTCAAGGTCTACAGTTGAATTCACTTTCAACGAAAATGCCCAGGGTTACCAGATATACGACAAAATCGCCAGCGGTAAGTATTAATCAATTGCAGGTTCAGCTTACATAAGCATTGGTGTTAATCTATTTTGTTGTTGTTCTTGTTGGCAGTCTTCATCAATGAACCATGATGCCACCACTTCCATTTACCGTTTCAACGCCACCAACGGCATTACCTGCATCCTGATTAGTGTTGATGGCCTAATCAGCATTAAGTATCGCAACAAGCTCAATGAGGACGTTGAGGCCGATTTGTATCTGCCCGATAATCCAGTATTAAGCGGCGAATGTGTGGAATCCAATATGGAACTATTGACGTTAGAGTTCAAAGGCTTCAAGCTATCGATGACGTTCAAAAAGGTAAGTGGCATGACGTTGGAATATAAGGCTGTTGCACAAACTACATACCGTTACACTGTGTGTGTGTGCCGGTCACTCATTATGTCATTAAATGTACGAAGTGGAGGGTAGGGGCTTTGCTGGATATGAATTAACGGGAGGTGTTCCATATGTGGCGAATAGCCCAATGAACTATTGTGAGTGATTTTCACTACGCTTCTATAAGTATTTAATTCAAAAAAAAAAGATTAATTTTGACATTTTCCGTCTCCATTTCGGAAAATGGCCTCCCGTTTTGTTGTGTGGGATTTTTTTTATTAACCGGTTTTCCAGACCCATTTAATCGATTGTGCGATCTGAAATTTCGTATTGGTAGACCTCACAAACGTATAAACACACTTCTGGCGAACCCGAAATACGAAAGTAATTTCACTTACAGAAGAGTTGAAATTTTGAAGTTTTTAGGAAAAAATATTTTCTTTACTATGATAGAATTATTTTTGTATCGGTACATGTTTGTATAGGAAACAAGACAACATTATCATAACATCGTCCTGACATTAAACACTTCCCAAATATATCTCTGCACACATTGTTGTTACTTATAAATGTAATTTCTTTATTTATTTTGTTGATCCACAGTCATCTGGTGGCGAAGGCTGGTACATCAATCTATTCGAATTGACATATTCCTCCTCGAATCCATTATTCGAACATCCAGATCGTCCAGGCTTAGATGTTAAATTAACCTCGCCCTCACACACGCCCATGTATTTCCCAACACCGGTGGGCAAATCCTATGTCTGCGATAAAGAACAAACTGTGGTCATGTACGCCCCGCTCGATTCGGGCGATCAGTCGGGTCACATTGCACGACTGTACTTGCGTGACTTGCACATGCAGAGCTTCATGTTTAAGGACAGTGGTAAATGGGGACCACCATTCCACTGCAGTGCCACTGGTTCGTATCGAGATGAAACTGCACCACTGGCAGTGGGCACCGCATTGGCGATAGCTGTTTTACTCACCATATCGGGTTATGGTGGCTGGAGGTAAGTGCGGAATAGATTTTATTTATAACCATTTTTTAACGAATACATTTCTTTACTTCCTCTTCCTTAGGTATTTCAAAATCAAAAAGGTACAATATGGCACCATGGAATAAATGGCTATCCAGCAGAGGGACAGACGGCAACCTGAGTATTAAACTAAGCAACCAAATGAGAACAAACCTAAAAGAAAAATATGTAAAAGGGAAGTGTGTGTGTAAAGATTATTTATTTTTGAATTATTAATTGGATTTATTTTTAATATTTGTTTTTGGAATTTTATTATATATATAAATAAATATTAATATGAAACTCTAACAAGAAATGTAACAAAGAAACAAACAAATGAAACCACAAAAAGTAACTAATTATAGTAAAATGAATTGCAAATGTCTTCCATATTGTTAAAACTAAATACAACCAAATAATATTTAAATTAACAAAAATAAAAATTAAAAAAAGCAAAAAAATAAATATTTAAGAAAAGAAAATTAAATATTTAATAAAAACAAATCTTAATATTTTTATTATATTGTTTATTATTAAAAATACATTTTATTATATTTCTTTGTATTTCAAATGTTTCCTTTTATTTGGCACCTAATTTTTTGTAATCTACAAAATCTAACACCTTTTTCAAATAATCTCGATGTTGTTATTTCAATTTAATAAAACAAAAATATAAATTTAAAAACAAAAATATATTGAAAATGATAAAACTCAGTAAGAAATACTATTAATAATATATATAACAAATAAAATATATAAAAATTTTTAGTCTATATTGGAAATATTGAGAATAAAAAAAAAATAATAAAAATACAAGACAAACTTATTCTAAGATGTTGAAACGTTTAAATCATATCTAAACTGAAATTATATAACAAATAACAAAAGCAACAACAATTATAATACTGAGAAATATATACATACATATATATAGAGCAACATTGCCGCAGAAATCAGAGAAATCAATAAAAAATAACCACATTTGAAAACGTAATAGAAAGGCCATACGTACATACATACATACATCTACTGACATATTTACAAAACTAAACGCATTCAGATTTGTTTCTTTCTTACCAAAAGCCAAAGTAAAAAAAAAAACAAAAACCAAAAGAAACATCATTAGGCCATAGATACAAGAAAAACAAAAACAGAACAAAATGAAATGCTAAACTAATTTCGAATTTCCTAATGAAGCTGCAATTTGAAAATTGTTTACAAGAAAAAGAAAAAAAAACAATTTAGTACAATGTTATTTATATATAAATATATTTTAATTAACAATACAAGTTGAAAGTATTAATCTGCATCATTATTATTATTATTAACAAATAAAATATTGTTTTTTTCCTTAACATACATATAAATCATTGCATCATCATGTACCTTCAGCCGAAATTGTAAACCATATTCCGAATAAAAAAAGATCATAGAAAATTTCATAGCAAAAACAACAACAAGAAAATAAATATTTAACAAGCCAAATCATTACAACTACAATTAAACATTTCCAGAAAAAAAGTTATTTAAAATCAAATAATTTCCGCATAATAAAAAGAAAAAAACATTTAAATAAACTCATTATGTTATCAGAAAAAAAACCCACTTGAAAAAGAAGGCATTTTCATTTCTGATGAAAAAATGGTAGAAATTTGAAAATTTTTAAATTGTTTTTAAAATTTCAATCCAGTTCAGTTATTTGGAATAGGCTATTGTCTTGGAACGTTGTGGAGATGCGCCATATTCTTTAAAGAGATTCTGCTGTTGCTTTCATCGCAGCCATCACAATGATTGTCATGTCTTTCCACAGTCGTCCATTCTAAACAGAGCATCCATATTGGCATTCCCGACCGATTTGTTCGAAAGAAAAGGTTTTTGAAAGGCAAACACAAAATAAATTATGTTTACAAACACACGCACTCTATGTACACAGACACACACACACACATCGTATACATAGAACACACATTGTGCTGCCACGGTTACGGCAACGGGCCCAGCATACCCCCGCATGACCAAAAGGGTATAGAGTCGTACAAATTATTATCGAATCTTAAATAACCAAAGGCGGAGTTTTCTTAAGAAAACAACCAAAGACAAAAACAAATTAAAGAAAAATAAAACAAAATCACAACTTAAAACAGAGCAGACAATTTTTTTTTTTTTTTTTGAAACCAACAACTACAGAATATCGAAAGAAAAAAGAAAACAAACAGATTTGGAACACCACAAATCGAAGATAAAATGATTTACAATGCTACTTGGCCCGACTGGGAATGCTTCCAATGTATGTGAGTGTGTGTGTACGGGTTTTCTGTTTTTGCAGAAAGACTAAACAATTTACTGGGGTTTTGACAAACTGTTTGTTTTTGCTTACAACGATTTGTCAATCAGTCAGTTGATCCCTGGGTAAACTCCGATCAAGTGTATCTAGGATTTGGGTTTCAAAGTGATAACATTTAGATTACACCAGTTTCGGCCTGGATCAAAGGGAGTTGCAAGTAAAAAAGTGTTTATTAGCTTACCGATTGGAACCGTGTTATTCCGTAGATAATTTGTGGACACGTTCTATTGAAATGTTAAAAAAAAAAAAACAAATTGCTAACGAATACCGTCATAATTGTAATTTATTCTGGTCAAAACATTTTTAATCGGATTTATTGAATTTAGACATTAACTCATCCTTTTCGAAAAACGAAACCATTAAATTATTTAAAATCTAAGCATTCTAACATACTCAAAATGGTTACAATGACAATCAAGGGACCGGCGAGATTGGCCACTATAAACAAAAGCAAGCACGGATTTTTTCACAACTTTTTGGAAAATATTAGAAAAACCGCAAAGTTACGGAAAACTGAAATTAAATGAAATTGCTGACACCCTAAAGATACCAATCGAACGTCTATAAGATATCATCCACTCTTATAGGGAATGTATGCGAATTTCTTAGCAATGTTGGTCACGTGCGAGAATTGAGGCCTGTTTCTTATTCTAAAATGTTCAGATTCTTCCGACACATATATGAAAGTCTAATAGGTGTTTTTATTATTCAAACTCGATGCCAAATCATTTGCAAAGATCTAGTTTCCCCATATACGTTAGTGTTAAACAAAATGTGTTACGCGTAAAGCTCTCTGCCCTACCGCGAATAGAGTACAACTATCCAAACGTGTTAAGCAATACACGAAACGCCTTCACGACGGTGATAACGTTTTTATTTTATTTTCTATAAACCCTTATTTATATTTCTTCGGGTTTATCTCCACTCCCGCCATGAAAATCCTACTGTCTCATAAAAAATTGTTATTAAATGAGTGAGCATGTCCTTGTCATGCATAGACCATCTTGAAGGCTGTTTGGGTATTTTCCAACTCAGCAAAAATGGCAAGGAAAAAAATCCTAAACTGGAAAAAAATCCATAACAATTTAAGCATCCTTCTTCGGATGGATAGACGGACAGACAAACAGATAGTATTTAATCTAATTATATTTACTTACTGTACTAGCGATTTAGCATAAATATTTAGTGCTTAGTACAATGGAATTGCAACAAAGGATACTAGAGCACCGCATTTATTAGTTTACAACCTCAGACTAATTAGGGCGCGGATTTACGCTTAAACTCGGCCATAAAACCGTTAAGCCGGCCTGATTATGTGGAATTCTATAGTGTGGTAAATATTTAGGGCAGCCATGACAAAAGGGTTCAGCAGAAATCTAAGAAATACTAAATGAACGCGAAAAGGGTTAGCAGCAGCTACTTATTTAGTACGTCTGCTGGTACTAAACGGATTTAGGTTAGCAGACAAAAGCAGATTTTCCCAAATTAGAGCAAACGTGTGCTCAATAACACCGGGGGTCATAAACACAGCCATACAGACACGATGCTTAGTAATGGTCGAGCAGGTAGCAAACGGCCACTGTCCCTTTCTAGAACGAGTCCTTATTCAAGGACTAATTTTAGTATGAATGGCCTTGTTTTAGTTAAACGCATTTTTGCCTGCCAAACAGTGATTAATTAGGGATTAGCGACGGAGCGAGCGGTGAATGTAGAAAGTGTGGCACAAATGAATGGAGCCGAGTTCAATACCCGAAAACACACAAATGCATGCACACATTTTTTACATATTGGCCAAAGAGTGTATTATGGAGTATGTGTGAGTGTGTGCCTCGAACTTAAGTAATGCTGTTTTGTTCATTTTGGTTCGGTTCGATACAATTCAAGTTGTTTTTTTTTCACCAACATTCACTTACATTTGGATACCTCAAAACGTATCCATATTTATTTTGTTGTTATTTATACAGTTCAACGAAGCGTTTGTCTGTCTCTCTGTCTGTCCCACAATCCATTAATGTGGCTAGCTAGCACTGGGTTTCATTTCCAAGAGCGTATTCGAAGACTGATCTTTAAAAAGCCAAATAAATGAAATATATTTTGTATTTTTTTTTCGTAATACCAACATGGACGATACCATGCTGTCGTACATTCGATATGAACAAACATGGACTTACTGCTTGCTGTTGTTGTTATTTTTTTCTCTTTTTTTTGTTATATGTTATTTTGTTGATTTTTCTCATTTGCACATCATTTGATTCGTGGATACTTTGCCATTGACTAAACGCCTCAAAGCTTAAAACCAAAAAACAAAAAACGAAAAAAAAACCAATAGCAACAGAAACAACAACATCAACACCAATAGTTGTTTGGAAAACAAAAAATAATGGAAATCAAAGCAAACAGTGTAATATTCAATAAGCAGCGTTGTCGATGACGAAGATCATTTCGAAATGCTTCAAATTCTGTTTAGTTTTATTCGAATTTAAAAATACCCTATAGGACGGATCATGTGGGGGATTTGAGACTTGGATATGAGGAGGATTACATCCAAACTATTTACAAATTTTCCAAATGTCTTCTATTCTAATTGCCAACAAAAAATATTTTGTTCATTTTATCCCAGTAGTTAATAACATAAATTGATTCTATTATTCTAACAACATTGAAAATTAAAATAATTTTGGGTACTGAAAGGGGTTAATTTCTAAAATCAAAGATACATTCAACACTTGGTATAACGAATACTCATTTTAACGAATTCTGGATATAA